GCCGTGGAAACGATTGGACAAACTTTTTCTCACAACGAACGAGTGAATTAACGCGCAGAGGTACAAAACTTTCGTTACAGGATCATGTATGGATCATTGTGTATTTCTATTGTATGAGGCGCAGCAGTGGTATTTATTGCCATTTAGTAATATCACCTATTCGAATATGTGATATCACCTGTTTGAAAAGGTGATATCACTCATTCAAATGGAATAGGTGATATCATCTATTCGAATAGGTTATATCACTTAATGGAATAGTTGATATCACTTTTTGAATTGGTAATATTACCTATTGGAAATGAATAGGTGATATCACCTATTGGAATAAGTGATATCATCTTTTTGAGTTGAATAGGTGATATCACCTTTTTGTTTTGAATTGGTTATATCACGAATTTGAATTAGTTATATGACCTATTTGCGTTTTTTATAACATTAAAAATGAATGCGAAAAACAAGACAATCTAACTTCAATGCAAAGTAAAGGATGAACATTCAAAACGCCTTCAAAGAGCAGTTTTATTTCCTTAGCAGTGATTCAAAATTGATGATATTGATTTCGTTGCTCTTGCACAAACTTTTACGAAAAGATAATAAAGTTTCTATGGACTTACTTCACTTAATATGAGACACACCCTCTAGTATGTCGGCATTGCATTGATCAAATAAACTGTAGATTCTCTGTAAGATCATTTATTTGGCACAAAGAGGAGAGGGGACACTGTTTTTAAGTTACAATGTGTATAAAAAAGACCATAAAACAACCTGTTTGCATATGAAAAACTAGATTTCTATTGAACATAAGCAAATTCGGGCTGTCCTTTTCCCCTGCCAAGGCATTTAAAACGCCTGTGAAGTTATATAAATTTCACTTGCAGTCAGTTTTGCTATATTTATTGATACTTTCTCTCTGTTATAATTATCTAAGTGAAAAAGACTGAACTTTTTACTTCCTGTTTAGAGTAAATGAATGCACTTAATTTAGTCTTGGGAGCAGTTGTTATTTCATACTTAATTTGTAAATAGGTATCACCTATTCAAGAAGGGGATATCACAAATTCAAAAGCTAAATAGGTGATATCACACATTCGAATAGGTGATATCACTTAATGGCGGTAAATATCAAAACGGTCCCTCATACTATTGCTTGCAATAGCATACATTCTAGTCTTGATCCTTTTTATCATTTGTTTCATATTTCGATATTTTTCTGATTATAGACGTTTATGGCCAATTAACAAACGAGTTGACTTTAGATTGATTGATTGTATGTTGTTTTACGTCCAATTCGAGAATTTTTCGCTCATATAGAGACGTCACCATATACCGGTGAAGGGCCTCAAACTTAGACCTTTACTCGGCACTCAGGGCCATTGAGCAGTGAGGGATCTTTATCGTGCTAACGCCTGCCATGACACGGGGCTTCGGTTTTTAAGGTCTCATCCGAAGGACCTGCAACTTTCACTTTAAAGTGCCAAGCGCCTGGCGAAGGAACAGTTGCTACGCATTTTTTTAACCACTCAGGTCAGTCGCGACCTAGATTCGAACTCACGGCGAGCGCTTTACCGAGTGAGCTACCGTGACGGCGGTTACTTCAGAAGTCTCTAAAAAAGTAATTCTTCTTATTTTAAAAAGTGTAAGGCACTTTTGCTACATGTCCGAAAATTACATGTATGTACACTATTTAAATCATTGGCTTAAAAAGGCATTCGGACGCAACTTAATTAACCGGTAGATAGACATTGTAAACATCTCTCTCTCTCTCTCTCTCTCTCTCTCTCTCTCTCTCTGGACTCTGGATAGTATAAGTCTCTCTCTCTCTCTCTCTCTCTCTCTCTCTCTCTCTCTCTGGACTCTGGATAGTATAAGCGAAAATAAAAAAAAAATTAAACAATGATACATAAGTCAATCAGAATGAAAGCATTTCCACATAAGGTACAATTGTCATTTCACCATAAAAGACATTTGAAAGATTAAATTGAGAACAACACATCATCGTTATATCTTCAATTTTCCTCAGGTGAGCACTTTGATCCACGGCCCTCTTGATTCATTGGTTCTTAATTTTTTTTAATCCAAAAAAATATTTTTCTGATCAAATCTACCAGGGGTCATTATTCTATGGGGGTCATTTTTCTTCACGTAGGGTATGCAGATTTTAAGGGTGATGCCACTTTTTCTACGGGCGAAAGGGTCATTTTCCTACGTCGAATAATGACCGGGGGTCATTTTTCTACGTCGAATAATGACCGGGAGTCATTTTTCGACGTCGGAAAATGACCCCCGGTCATAATTCTACGGGGGTCATTATTCGTCTTTACACCGGCATATTTTATGAAGCGCGTTAGCGCTTCACGATAAATATGCCGGCGTGAAGCGTTATAGTTCATGTACCTCATGAATTTTCAAAAATTAAATTCATTTCTTATATTTACATTATTATTCTGATGATTTGCCACAAATAACACCATTCAACTGTCATTTTTAAAAAACAGTTTTGACGTCAAGTAAGGTATTATGACGTAACTGGCAATGGAGATATTCATGCCCATTCATGGTAGTTCATGAGAAAATGAACTGTATTCTATTTTGTAAAGAATCATGGTGGAAATTTATTGAAAATGTAAATATTACTCTGTAAACGAGCCAGGTGTATAACGTAGAATATTGACCCGGGTTGAAAATTGTCCCGGGTTTATTTTTCACTGATACTGATCCGGGGGTGCTTTTTCGCCGTTGAAAATTGAGACTTAAAGTCGTGAAATTTATACCCGCGGTCATTTTTCAATAGCTTGGTAATTTTCTTCTAATCTCCGATGACCTCAAGACGTTGAAAACTGACCCTATTGAATATTGACTCCAACTACAGAGTGTTGAATTGTCTTTGAACTGGAAGTTGTTTACACGATTTATCTGTATCTATTTATTCATATTTCAGTTTCAAAGTTTTCATTTTTTTCAGAATAATAGGTCTGAGATCATCCCGAATATGATCAGTACACGATTTTTAAAGTTATTTTCACGTTTGAGGCCACGGTTGTCTATGACAACCTTTTCACAGCAATTATTTTATTTTAACATAAATTGCATGTATGTAAGTTAACGGTCATTTTATGATTTTAAACATATCATAAGTAAATTTAATCCATTTATTCATAGTTCTTAAATTATGTTTATCATATCTATATTTTACTGTGCAATGCTCAAGAGTAATTCTAGAATTATATTTAGCGCTTTATAAATTTCGTATAATAGGTATTTTAAAAGATCAACTACATGATTGATGATCTACGGGACCCTTTCATTGCCTACTTCTTCCTACGTCTTTTGTGATTTACAGTTTTCTTTTTTTATTTACAAGAAATACAATTTTTTAACTGCGAATTTCAGCGAATTGCGGTTTTTATTATTAGTAGTATATTTAGACAGACATAGAAAAACACACAATACACAGAACACACTATCCTGAAACCGAGCCCCTATAGGAAGAATCCCCATAAAGTTATATATCATAGCTGCCCAAAATAGCCTTGATCTCTTCGATGCATTTGTTGATTTGGGATGACTTCAGCTGGGCTTTTCTATCGTCGACAAGGGATGCTTAATTAATCCTCCTAGGCACCTGATCCACCTCGGAAAAAGATTTTTGAAAGATGCCATTAAGTTCTCATTACCAGTTATTCTTCATTATCTCCCCTTTAAATAGGGCATGGCTCTTCATTTGAACAATTTTATTTAAACCCCTCCTCGCTCAAGGAAGGTTTGTGGCAGGTTTTATTGAAATTGACCCATGCAGTGGTTCTTAAGAAGAAATCAAAAATGTGAAAAGTTTGCAGACCGACAGATTGATGGATACCACAAATTGTGATCATAAAAGCTTTTAGCTCAGGTAAGCTGAAAATTTATGAAACAAAATGAGTAAACTGTGTTGACACATGGATTCATGCATCTGATCATGGGACAAATGAGCAAAGTAAACTGAGGAAAAGGAAGGTTCATCATGGCCTGTAAATGAAACTCGGAGGGAAAAGTCCAGGACTGCATGCTGACAACTATCTTATTGCCTTGGGCCAAACTGTAACTGGTGAATATCATATAATTCTAGTGATCCATTTGTGCTGGAACAGATTGCAAGAGTGCACATACATGCTGCAATGTGGCATGACAGTCGCTGCATTAGATGTGTAACAGGAAAGAAGAAAATGTTTGGCTGGACCGGGAATCAAACCCAGGACCCCTGCATCACTAGTCAGGTGCTCTACCGACTGAGCTACCCAGGCTGATATCCAAGGCCCAAACCATTACAGATGCATATCACTTCAAAGTTCATTTTCATTCCCCATATACCCCTTATCCATTCTAGGTGATAATTTTTTATTCCCGATGTAAAATACTGCACCGTCAATGAAATTTCCATCCCAGTGAAGACATCATGGTGTCTGTTTGAGAGTGTCATAAACTGAGAATTACCAAAATTTTCATTCTGAGTATCTTTTGTTTATTTTTAAATTGAAGGCTTGTATAATATTCAAACACAAACAAAAACAAATATCGTTTGATTATCAAAATTATTTGAAAAGTTACATGTACATCAATTTGAAATTTTGATTCAAGTCTGTTCACATTTTATGATCTTTACTCTTTAGGCATGTAATTTTTTCAAGGAGAAATAGGGCACTTGAACTTAGATGGCAGAACTGTCTATTCCTAAAGGGGACTACCATCATTACTGTATACAATGTAACGTGTATTTTCACCCTGTCTTATTTTTGGCCCCTTCACACTTGAAAACAATTTTGGCCCATTTTAAATTCACCTGGCATAGTTGTGAGATAATGCAGTTTACTTTGAATTCACCCTACTTTAAATTCACCCACTTGTGATGAGGGCAAAAATAAAACGGGGCAAAAATTTCCCATATTAAGAAGAAAAAAGTCAAAATCAAACACTTAAAGAAATAGTTTAGGTCAGTAACACACATTTTTTAATTACCAACATACACACAGGGAATACATCTGCAATTTAGCTAAAATACATGTATGTTCATTTATAAAGAGATTAATTGAGAATCAATTGCTCTGATACTCTCTTCTTCTGTCAATTCTCTGTTTAAAAACTTCCACTTGACAATTTTCAACTTTTTGAGGAATTTTCTTCTTTTAGCAGGATTGCTAAGATCATAAACTAATCCTTGAAGTGTTACTGTAGAAGAAACTTCAACACTTTTCTTCCATTGCTTTACCAATTTCAAAAATCCATTTCTATTTTCCTTTGAAGTGGAAAAGGTTTTATGATTATCTTGTGTTTGTCCCTTTCCTTCTTCATTTCCCTTCTTCTTTTTGTTCTTTCCATCACTCTCTCCCCATTCCTCATGATTGAAATCTTGTTTTCTTTTCTTTCCTGACTTTGGTGCTACATATCCATCCACTAACCTTGATGGCGTATTTGTTATTTTCCGCTGCTCTTTCACTTTCCTTTTCACTTCCTCTTGCTCCTGATAAACGATTCTTAATTGATCAAGATCTGAAGAAAATCGCAGCACAAGTTTCCGAGCACTCTTTAATTTCTTGTTTTGTCTGAGAGGATGCACATTTTTATGAGATTCATGTTTCAATTTCTTTAACGACTTAATATAAGTCTGGACTAGATTCTTTTCCTCTTTATGTACAAGAGGCAAATCATTTAGTATTGTTATTAGTTCCTCAAAGGAGCATTTCCTCACAGCTTTATTATCGATGAAGACTTGAGGCATACTTCTCTCTTTAGTTTCAAGGTGACAAAACATCTGTCTTGGTCCCGTGATTTCTGGCATACCACAAACAGCACCAGATATACAATGTCCCTGATCATTCTTGACTTTAGGAATCTTCCTTTTAGATACATTCACAGATGGACCAGAATCAGTAAATTTACATTCATTTACATATTGTGGGTCTTTATTTTGCTGTTGAACATTCTCAAAAGCTGGTTCTCCTTTACCTTTCCTTGAATTTGGTAGATGTGTTTCAGTTTTATTTCTACTCATATGCTGAATTCTAGGAACTGGTTCCCCTTCATCCTCACTAGAAATTTGATGATCTCTAGAAACTGGTTCCCCTTCATCCTCACTGGAATTTCGGGAATATATTTCTTCAATACTCAAATGCTGAACTCTAGAAATTGGTTCCCCTTCATCCTCACTAGAAATTTGATGATCTCTAGAAACTGGTTCCCCTTCATCCTCACTGGAATTTCGGGAATATATTTCTTCAATACTCAAATGCTGAACTCTAGAAACTGGTTCCCCTTCATCCTCACCAATTTCTGATTGTTGCATTTTTGAAAAACAATCACTGCAACCTTTCTTCGTGTCCTTGTGTAAACTTGTGACTTTATTTCTGTCCCCTGGTGATGATGTTATCTGAGATTCATCGTTTGTGTCAGAAAGCCAGTTATTGTCTTCATCATATGATTCACCTTCTCTGTCCTCCTCGACAATATCTACAAATCAGGTAAAAGCAAAATGTACGTTTCTTATCTCTGTAAAGATGTACATTGTATATATGTATATACTCAAGAGCGTTCCTCAGTGTTATTTTTTAGAGTAAAGAGATCATACCTCTCTGAAAAATAAAGTATTTTATCTTCTTTGGTTCAACACTTTCCATATACTTCTCCTGATAAGTATTACTGCAATAAAAAAAAAAAAAACATGAAATACTGTTGATTTTATTCACTTTAACTAAAATTCTTTTCTATGCAGTAATCTTATCCCTTTTTAGAATACACTAAAGATGAATAACACCATTCTTAAATCTTAAAGTATTCCAAAATGATTTATAAATTTATAAATTTGGTCTATTATTTTTGCTTTTAGAACTTTATTCAATATCTTATTTAAAAAAAAAAACCCTAACCAATACCCGGTAGTACCTGTATATATAGGCTTGCAGCATTTAAGCATACTATGCATAGAAACTATTCTGGATTTTCTTTGTACAACTAAGGCAATTGAATCTCTGCTGTGTCTGACTTAAAACCATGCAGGAGACATACATGACAAGGGGGAAAGCTGTCAATGTGACAGCAAACCGGGTTTTCTTCTTCTGAACAGTTACGTTGAAATATGTAAGATATAATGATCAAATTCTCTATGAGATAAAGAAAGACATATTCCAAAGAAATCATTTCAGTGTTGAACCATGTGATGTCTTAAAATGGTTTCCGTTTTTTCCGATCATGACAAGGAACACATAGCAGGTGTGACCAGTTGGCAGGGGATGCTCACTCCTCCATGGCACCTGATCCCACCTCTGACATTTTTGGAAGTCCTTGTTTGCTCTGCTCCCGATTTGTATTGTTTTAATGGGACTTGAGCTTGAATACTGTTCGTTATCTCCTTATTTCATTCCATCCCCACCACACCATTCCCTTTCCAACACTGTTTTTTTTTTTTTTTAAAAATGCATGTTCAGTAGACACCAACCTTTGATACAAATCTAATGGCTCCGGCTCATCATCTGATTCTGCAATTGTGTTTGGTAAAACTACACCATCTGGTAACTGCAACCAAGGTACATAGAATATAGATTAAGTTCACATTTTTGTGAAAGATGAATGCAATCCATCTCTACAGCCCTCACTTTTATATTCACTCCCTCTCTTGTTAGAAGTAGGGGTAAATTTGAAACCTGGAGCTTGTATTGCACAAATAACAGAATATATACATGCATTGGTAGTTTTTACATTTTGGCAGCATACACTTAATTTCCTCTAAATCCATATTCGACTCCAAATATGCTTGTATTATTTGCATATTAATCTAGTTAACATATGTATAAAGCATCTTCTTCATTGTGCCAAGAAGTCTATGACCTGCAACTGTTTAAAAATTTGAACACTCTTACATAACAAACAAACATTCACAGAATTTCTTGCAAAGTAAAGACAATTTGTTTACACTTTTTATTATAAGAGACCTGAACCTTGCTTACATATTTACAATAATTAAATCAGTTCATAAATCACATTAACATATGAGTAAAATAATACTAACCCATGGATGAACAGTAGGAACAAAGACCTCCAGACATGGATAAAGTTCTCCATACCACCTTGTGCAATTGAGGAGACAGGTTTTTGCCAGAACCCTATAACCATATAAAATTGTACAATCTGCTTGCATGATAAGGTTTAGAGTAATATGGCCCTTCAATTTGTTTGAATTTTAAAACAAGAAAATAAATGACACACTGAATATACATGTATATTTCTTTTTTGGTCTAAAACATTGCATGTAGAAAGAAAATTTTGTTTGATTGATTGATTGTTGTTCAACGTTAAGGCCATTGAGCAGTGAGGGATCCTTTTCATGCCAGCGCCTACTGCGACACAGGACCTCGATCGGTTTATACGGTCTCATCTGAAGGACTGGTCTCCACATCCCGCAGTGGGATTTGAACCCGCAACGTAAGGATCAACTACTTACACCGCGACTCTACAGCGAACGCTCTAACCACTGCGCCACCTGGGCGACTAAAGAAAAATTTTGAACCCCAGATCTCCTGGGAAAATGGAAATGATGTCAATTAAGATGCAGTTTAGCAACCTTGTCAAGACTTTAAATACATAGGAGGTCCAAAACAAGTTTGAGAGGACTACCTATTTTCTTGTTTTTTTTCCCAAAAAGGTTGTCATAACATTATCTGCATATCAAAATTATCAAGGGAGATAACTTCCCTATTAAAAATATTCTTTAAAATAAAATACTTTAAAAATCTACATATATATATAAATATATGGAAGGATTTTTTTTTCTTTTACATAGTCATTACTAATGTAAACAATACTAATAAAAACTTTAAATAATAGTACAAAAGTCCTATTTCTACATGCTATTGCAATCAACAAGAGACAGTGTGAATTGCTTCCCCTCAAACTTACCATAACCTGCTGATGAGAGCCATTAGAGTCAGATTCTGGGGTACTAGAGTTCCAATGGACAATTGTTGCTTCAGATGACTTCCTTTTGTCAAGGAGTGTTTACTTAGCACAGAAAGCAATTAATAGGTACAAATAATTAAATACTGGAATCTAATATTGCTAGCTTTGCACTAATATAGTAATCAAAATGAAGGATTTTCAGGTAAAATTAAAAAAAATTATAAAATAAGTTTCAGCACTATTTCTAAGTATATTGCTATCCCAGACAAATCTAAAATGTTATTAAACTTATTATGAAGATTTTTTTCTCTCCAAATGGTAACATTTACATCCAAGGATGTTTCTCTCTCCTTGGCAGTCAATGCCATTTGCTCAATGTGATGCATTTTAACCTTTCCTCTACATAAGGATACATATATGCTGTGAAACAGTATTTGGTTGTCTGCTTGTAAAGATGTTTGGCTCCCATCAATTTGACTAGCAGGTGCTCCATCATTTGTTGAGTAGGAAGATAGACACTTCTGGCCATCAAATTGCTCCTGATAATAGAAAAGAAAAAACTTACTTAAAAGTAAATTCTTCTTTTATTACAAAATTTGGTTGGCATCTAATATGGTGTAATTGAATTTGTAAAAACACATTTTCATTGCTTTATAAAACATTGAAGGACATAAATAGTTTACTATCTTTAAAGATATTTGGATATTGCTTACTTACTGTTGTAAAATGTGCAATAAATTGTCCACAATCTTTTCCACTTTCATTTCAGATAATTTTGCTAAACATACTTTTATCTGTATTGAAGAAAACAGATGTGTAAATTTCATGAAAATCTAACAATACAGTGACAAAAACTAGATTTCATTGAGATGGTGGCCATCTCAAAAGGCCCCGCTTTCAGCAATGAACATGAAAATGTAAGGTAGCCTATTTTTGACCTTGACCCTTGACCTAGAAACTTCATTCAAGGTCACTGCACATCCATTGATCAATGGCACTCTGTGAGTGAAGTATGAGCCACATTGGACCAAGGGGAGCAGGGCTCGACATTAACGCTTGTCCGCATGTCCGGTACCAGTGAAAAAAAATTACGGACAAGTGAATATTGCTGGGCACTTGTCCGATTGGACAAGTGCATTTTAATGTAAAGAAGTATCTAAATAATAAAAAGAACAACTGTTGAAAGTTAATAGGTAGTTTCAAGACGGAAGCCCTACATAAAAACCGTACTTCGATTCACATTTGATCGGGATTGAAGTTCACTAATTGCATACTACTGAAAAGGCATGGAACTTACGAACTTAACAAAATTTGGATTCTGTTTGATGTTGACAGGTTAACTTGTTGTTGTTAGATAAAATTTTGTTTTATGTGTTTGTTGTATTTATCAATAACATCACGAATAAATCAAGCACATGTAATGTGTAATGGACTTTATTTTAGTTTTCAACAGTGTTTGAAATAACTGTGCGCCCGACTGCCCGAGACGCACAAATTTTGCAGTGGGCGAACAAATTTGCATGTACTGACGCCCGGATGGACATGTTAAAATTTTCGATAATTAAAATTTATATATTTGATAAATCTTTTTCATATCAAGTAATAGTATCGGTAGCAAAGTTTAACAAGCCAATAGGAAGAATTCATCAGTCTATAGATTCTGGTTTGAAGTTATGGTGACCTGGTTCCAGTCACATTATCGTTAAAAAACAAATTTATAAAAGACAATTTTTTTCTTGGGCAAGTAGATCTTTGGCAGAGCTGACAACTTTTACTAGCAGTCAGTCCTGCATGTCTGTCTAATTTTACAGTGAGTTTCAAGTTGACAGTATTAGATCTTTAATGAAAAATTTTCGGACAATTAAAGCTGAAGTTCGGACAAGTAAATGTCTTGGTCACTTGTCCGAATAAACAAGTAGGGAAAAAAGTTAATGTCGAGCCCTGGGGAGAGAAGATATGCTCTGGACAAGGATTTTTCATATAATTCTGCTATGACCTTAACCTTAGACCTAGAAACATGGTTCAAGGTCACTGCACACCCTTTACCCAAAGACACTCTGTGGGTGAAGTATGAGCCAGATTGGTCCGAGGAGAAAGAACATATGCTCCACACAAGAGATCTTGGACAGACAGACGGATGGAAGGATGGACAGACAGACTGATCACAATAGGGTGGGGCCCCAATGAAGTAAACAGACAGCAAGAGGACAATTTTAAGACATCGATGAACAAGCTACAGGAACATACCCTTTTTAAGAATTGAAGAGTTTTTTCACTCCGCAACTGAGCATTCAGTTTGTAGATGATACGACACAAAGCAAATTCCTCAGTGGAAAGAACTATCTGTTTCTCTTTAGCCATCTCGATCTCTTTCAAGACCATTAATACCATTTTCACTTTACCTGTATTTATAATATGAAACAAAGTTTTAATGTTATTTATGTATGATTATACTCAACATAATATGCAAACAATTCTCAAATGCCATTGTAAGAATACATGTACTAAACCATATGATCTAATTACAACCATTCTAGTGTTGAAATTATTCTTTTCAACAGAACCTGCTAGTAAAGTTTGCCTTGAGACACAGCTTTCGTATTCTATCATAATTAAGATTGATACATGCAGATGCATATATCTAGTTTTACCTAATTTAATGAACAGCTGATAAAGGTCAGGTTGCTTTTACTTCAACACTGTTCACTGCTGTTTATTTTTGATTTGTCGAATAAACATTAAAAAATAACATCTATATTAAGATTACCTCTCTCAGTCAAAGGAGTGCAGAGAGATATTATTGGTGGGGGTCTCAAAAAACGATTATTCCAGACTGTTTGTAATGGACCTGAACCAGCCATTTTCCTTGTCTACCTCAACCACGTGGTGAAAGATTCTGAATCAAATAAACGCTTTGAATTTGATACTTCATTATGGTTTTAAACGAAAACATTTTTTTTAAAAAAATAACATATTTCTATAGGACGAAACATTTCTTCAAAAATTGAAGTATTTGACAAAATATAGTTACATATGAAAATATAAATTATAAATTAAAACGCGGATTTTCACCGGGCTAAACTTCGTGTTTTAGTTTTTTTCTCCACGTTCAAACTTCCGGTAAAAATAAAAATTTTCCCAAATCCGAAGTCGTAGTAGGTTGTAGAAGGATGGGGCTCTGTAAATGTCCCAAAAAGAAAGTTACGAATCTTTTCTGCTTTGAACACAGAGTAAATGTTTGTGAGAACTGTTTAGTTGCAAACCATGCAAAGGTATGCGTTCAAAAAGTGACTTGGTTTTATAGAAAATGCAGTATGCAAATGATTGACCATTTAAAAATATTTTTGTGCAGCGCTCTAGCACTAATTACTATTTTTTAGCTTGTTGAAGTATAAGTTCTGAAAGTTTTTATTAGCAGCAGAGACCTTGACGCGTTTAATATATAAAGTTACAAGAAGCCAATGTTTTTCATCATGGATAGCTATTTATTACATATTTACAATTACATGTATTATAATGTCTAGTTGAAGCAGACAGTTTTATCAGAGACATATAAAAACATGGTTTTTATATGTCTCTGGTTTTATAGTGTAACTTGTGAAAAAGTGTGAAGTACAGACCAAAATTCGAACCTGTGCCCCGTGTATCAATAAGGTGCTCTACCACAGGGGCTTGCTCCCGGCGTGTAATAATTATTTATTTTTAAAAAAATCATACGTTAATACTAAAACTACACAAGGGAGGACGCCATTTTGGACCCCTTCCTCGCTTCAACCTCTGTTTTCGTTATATTTTCCCGTATTTTACTGACTCACCGCCTCGGATCTGTCAAGTAATGATTCTTCTAGGACATAATGCTTAAATTTTCCCCTTGGAGCCTCTACAATACACATTTCAGACTAATAATAACCCAAACTCGCTCTTTAGGACAGTTGATAGGGACAGAAAATGAAAACACATTCGAAAATCTCGGGGTTTTTCTACTAGTTAACACAGCTGCTAATTATAAATTTGAAAAAACCGCGTTCTAATTCAAATTTATAATTAGCAGCTGTAAATTTGAATTAGAACGCGGTTTTTTCAAATTTATAATTAGCAGCTGTGTTAACTAGTAGAAAAACCCCGAGATTTTCGAATGTGTTTTCATTTTCTGTCCCTATCAACTGTCCTAAAGAGCGAGTTTGGGTTATTATTAGTCTGAAATGTGTATTGTAGAGGCTCCAAGGGGAAAATTTAAGCATTATGTCCTAGAAGAATCATTACTTGACAGATCTGAGGCGGTGAGTCAGTAAAATACGGGAAAATATAACGAAAACAGAGGTTGAAGCGAGGAAGGGGTCCAAAATGGCGTCCTCCCTTGTGTAGTTTTAGTATTAACGTATATGATTTTTTTTAAAGAAATAATTATTACACGCCGGGAGCAAGCCCCTGTGGCTCTACCAACTGAGCTTTCTGGCCACCGGAGATCCGAACTAAAAGTTCTTCACCTCTAAGACCGGACCCAGATAAAAATAATGTAAAACAAAGGAATGTGTTTTTAAAAAAAATGCTTTCTCATTAATTGGTTGAAAAGGATCAGATAGACACAAATATGTAATATGTATGATAATGGTCAGCTAGTCCAAGCTAGAATTTACTTCTGGCACAGACTAAATAAGACCCCTCCCCCTTCCCCCCTTGAAGTACAAAGTATTTCTTCTATACATATAATAATGTAGATTAAGTGTATAGGCATACCCTTAAGTATGTAGAAATATCCTTTTTTCTTTAAAGACAAAAAAACATTTGAACAAAAATTCAAGTCAATTTTAATTGATGGTGACCTTTCTTTTCATTAATAGAAAGATTTTTAGAAAAGTGCTTTGCATTGATAAAAATTGACCCTTTTAAGTTACTGGTATACATGGATGTTATTATTGCAAATAACTTTTTGTTTTTGTCTTTTACAGTGTGTGATCAAGTCTTACCTGCAGTGGTTACAAGACAGTGATTACAACCCAAACTGTAGCCTGTGTCACCAGTTACTAAATGATGAACAGTATGGAGATTGTGTTAGATTGACTTGTTATGGTTAGTCCATGTTAATTATGTACATACAATTAAGCACTGATTTCTTATTTTTGGATGTTGTCAGTTGAATAATAGCCTCTGGCCTTACCGAAAAATTGAATACAGTGCATAAGCATGGTATGACAATTTGTTGGCACGGACAGGGGCTGTTATATGACCAACAACATCCAAATATAAGAATTCAGTGCTTATATTTACATTCTTTAATTTTCTCTCCTCGTAAATGTTAATTTCATTCATCTTCTGTTCATTATAAATTTAGTACCTTTCAGAAGTGGTGTGGTTAATAGACGTAAGAGCCATTCTGACGTGGAAAGTTAAATAATGCAAATGAATATTGCTAGGGAAGAAAATAACAAATGCATTTTAATCAAACAATTGTTATATTTTTACAACAATTTAACAGGGTAGTTGTTTTAATTAAATTGAGCCAAAACAATATTCTTCTTGGATATATTTAGTGTATTAAAAGTATATGTAGTTCCTATTGTGTATTCTATCACGCAGTGACAAGGTTTCTCGTGTGTTATAGGGGGTTGAATGTTGCAGATTTTCAGTGGATTTCTTAAAGAAAATAACACTGAATGTAAATATTGTTTAAACAAGACACTGTATGTTGTATAAATATCAATAAGTACAGCTGAGAAGAGCAGAGTTTTTTTGACTAGCAATTCAGAAGACTGTGGTGTATATCAATTATCTAAAATAACTTTCTTATCTATTGCTTTTCTGATTTGCTTCTTGGACATTATTCTATTATTCATGTAGGAACATTATGTTAATTAATACCAAACTCACCTTGTTCTTCTCTTGGGAGATATTTATTTTTTATTTGTTTTTCAGATATTTTTCACTGGCCGTGTCTGAACCAATATGCCCAGCAATTCCCTGCCAACACAGCACCTGCTGGCTACACCTGCCCAACCTGCAGTGCTGGAATCTTTCCTCCACCCAACATGGTGTCACCAGTGGCAGACAAACTAAAAACACTCCTCTCTACAGTGAACTGGGCCAGAGCAGGCCTGGGATTACCACTGGTACATCTCCTGACTATGTTTTGAAAGTTTCATTCAATTATTGGTGTAATCATGATATATTTTTATGCCCAGATTTGGTTAGATTTTACAAGACTTCATAAGAGTCTGCCTTATGAAATAAAAGAGTTTTCAAAACTCAGTAGCTGTGTATGTAGATCACCAGACATAGCATGGCAAAAATTCTAATTTCAAGTCCCATTTGTTTTGCATGATATCACGAAAGCAATTTTTTTGGTTCATTTATTTCACTTTATTTGCCACTTTTTATAGATAGATGAACCACAAGAGCCAGTCCTCCCTTCCCCACAGGAGGCACCTCCACTGACACAGAGTACTCCAGTGAAGTCGGAGGCCACCTTACCCACACAGAACACACCACAGAAATCTGGCAGTGTTCCAAGTCATGTGACTACTCCTTACTCCACAGGATTTTCAAGCACACCAGCTGCTTCTCCTTACCCCTTAGGGGCCTCACCAAACCCCCAGACAGGGAACTCATACTCTCCAGTGTCACCTCCAAACTACAACAACAGACCAAGTGCTCATGTTCCCCCTAATCAGCACAGTGTGATCAGCGTGGATGAGGGGACCTCAGTGAGGGGCCAGGATAAACTCTCATTTGGAGGTATAGACAGGACTGTAATGATTTAGAGGGCTTCAATTGTCTTTTATTATACAATATTTACATTTCCAACTATTTTCTCCGTGAGAACTCTTTGAAAGTTGTGTGTTGACTCCTCAATATTTACAATTGAATGTAAATTTCGCAAAGTGAAAGGTCAAGTGCCTAAATATGCACGTCAATCTGTTGTGGCTGTCTTTATGTCTGATGTCAGTGGATGGGGAATATTGAAATTAACATGGAATGCCTCAAGTATTTTAAATCTATTAGTTAGCATTTTTTAATTTTATATTAACATTTTTATTTTACATATAAATGTAAATATAAGGAATCACTATCTAGTTTTGGCTATGCCAGCAGTCTGACTAAAGCCAGCCCCTACTATTTCACTTCGAACGAAGTGAAATAGTAAGGGCTGGCTTTAGTCAGACTGGGTATGCCAGGACATCAACACATCAACAACAGTTGGAAACGTGGGATAATTTATGCAAAACGGACTTAGCCCATTATGCAAATTATCACACATTTCCAAATATCATTGATGCCCTGGCATACCGTGATTCCTTAATTGTATCATTTAGAAAAAAATATTTTAATTCATTTTCCATCAGGAAGATTCCATCATTCCAAGAAAACTGATGGTGAGATTCACTGATTTAATATTTGGCATTTTGTACAAAACCTACTGTCCTAATGTTGGTCAATATGTATTAACAACTCCTCAAAAAATATCACTAGCATATAGAGAACTCACAATCTCCCAGGGTTTCTTTCACCTTTTTTTCCTCCCTAATATCACACTTGCATTCATTCTTGGTTTCTCTCAGTTTCACAGTGATAAAACAGTACATTTCTTGTGCAAGTTTATTAATTATTTTACAGATCCTAGAAAGTTATTTGATTCCACAAAAGAAGACACAAATTCCATATTTAATACATCACAGGACCACGATGAAAATAAGTACAGAAGAAGATCTGCGATGGAGTGGCTCACCAAATGGCTGAAGTAAGCTCTGTTTGATTTCAGTTAAGGCCTTTTAGGTGTAGCATCAGAAACTGCCACACCAGGCATTGTAAATTGAAGAAATATTTTCTTGCTCAAATTCTAAGTACTGAGTACATGTATCTCAAGTATACGTGTACATAAATTGGCTTATTCAAAATTTAGCGCAATTACTGGATATGGAGTTGTTGGCAAAATCATGAATTAGCGCTATACATGTCCATGCCGTATATTGTATTTATAATTGATTTCTTAGCGGTATTCATGAATTAGTGCATTGTTGTCTGGGCCAAAGTGGCTAAATAATGAAGCCTGCTTTTTTAAGTACACGTACAGTATCCTCTTATCAATAAAGAAATACATGTCGGTAGATTTTTATTGTTTCTCCTCTTCCTTTTAGGTCTCGAGATAGTAAGCATGGAAAGAAAGATCCCCTGACTTTAAGGAAGCGTTTTCTGATGGTTTTATTAATCGGTGTGATAGGATTTTTGACAATTATTGTGATATTCTCAAAATTAGGTCGAAGTGATGTTGATGAGGACCCATTTTTAGGAAATCCCCAAGTGAGAGTGATGGATGAGATCCTAGATTGATATTATGCCTGACACTGAAAATGTTTTTATCTGTAGACTTCTTACTGCAAGTCAGCAAATGCATGTATTTTGTACATATTGTTATATGAAGTGAAAAATATGAATTACATTTTTATCAGAAAGACTTGGTGAATTTTATTAAACTGAGTTTCATTTAAAAGATTTTGACATGAAATTCTCTTTTTATCCTGAAATTTGATTAAAGTTGATCAAGTTTGGATGTCTTCTTTCAACAATTCCAACATGATTGGTGGCTTATATGACATAACTCTCTCTCTCTCTCTGACAATGTTATCAATGTTATATCTGGTTTAAATACTAAACTTAAGTCTGTAAAGAAAATTATCAACTTGTTCTCTTGGTAGACATTTGTGACACAACTTGACCTCCTTTGTAAATTTTGACGTATGAGTTGATGGGGGTAATTAACTGAACTCAAACCATACAATGTGTAGCTTTAAAATAAAAATGTCAGAAAATGAAATGCTTTTTTGCCAAGATGGTAACATGTAATCATTATGTGGTTTATATATATGACTAACTGCATTTGAAATTTACTGATTTTATTGATACAGCTATATAAATATTTGAACAGAATTTTGAACACCTGCCTGAATATCAGTGTGTTAAAGAAAGTCAGGCATTCTCTGCATAGTTTTAAATTTAGGCCTCAAGTTGATATCTCAAACTGTTATAAAGCTTGAATTTTTTTTATTGGTCTTGCCAAGCTCCTGATATATACTTCAATAATTGTACTGAAAACTTATTAAACATGTATCTGGAGAAAAACGCTTTTAGACTACTATATAAATGTATTCACCAATGAACTTTAAGTATAATGTTGTATGGGTTTAGTGTATGGACTGTCTGTGACACTTTTATTTGAAAAGATGAAAATGGCTTTCATGAGATAAAGCTGACTATAACATGTATAGTGCTATGTGATCGAAATGGATAAAATAAATTGTTTGTTGTGAAATTTCGTACACTTTTAACCGTGTCACAGAGATCTGATTGTTGATTTGCATGAGTGCAATTTTTATTTATTCTTAAGATGTTTGTAATATATTGTTTTTAACTTAAAGTGGATGTTATATTTGATGTATATGTACAGAATGCAGATTCATTCGGTGAGAATTTTGCTTTGGTTTTTATAAAATATGTAAAACCACTGTATTGTTACATGTATATGAGTCATATTATTCTTGTTCATTGCATAATGAATATCAAATAAATTAAGATTTTCATTTACTCAAATTTTTCTTTTAATTATTTGGGAAAACATCAGTCAGTCTCTACATTAAAGAATGTGTTTGATAAATTTACTAATGTATATAATCAGCATTAGTCAGTTAAATTATACTTTGCACATCGATACAGAATTTTTTGGTTTTACGAAATTCCTTCGGAAAAAAAAAACAAGCAAGACAGAATTAGCTTCCTTGGTAAATGCAGACATAAACATTGGAGTTACCTCCCGTGAATTTGTGTTCTTAGAAAGTGAAAGAAGTCGATAAGATACACAACAAAGCATTAAATTTTGCTTTGAATTCTACAATGGTACGTATCTAAGGTATTTTATATTGGTAGTACAATTACTGAAAGTGATGAATCATAATAAATCTAGTTTTTAGCTAAAAATGGTAGTTAGCAACACGTGTACATATTAGTCTGAATTATCTCTGTCGTGCTGCAAACGTGAGCCTTCACTTGCCATAGTTATAAGAAGTAAATTTTAAGTATTAGACAGATTGGCATTGCCGAATTATAAGACAACAATTATATAAGAACCATGATCAAGTGATGCACTTGTTGGTTCATACAGCAAGACCACTCAAAAAAATCTTTGACTTTCGCGTATAGAAATTATTGCCAATTTGGCAATATTTTCTATACGCGAAAGTCAAAGATTTTTTTGAGTGGTCTTGCTGTATGAACCAACAAGTGCATCACTTGATCATGGTTCTTATATAATTGTTGTCTTATAATTCGTAAACATGGTAAAGACTGTAATTGATAATAATAATCACTGTGTCAGAGATAAAGATTCAGTTTGATGTTGACAAACGACTGCTGTATGTTACAGGCTTCCTTTCGAATTGAGACAGACAGCTTTGGAGAGATACAGGTGCCCTCCGACATGTACTATGGAGCAAACACTGCAAGGTCTATTAAAAACTTTGACATTGGAGGATCTAGAGAGAGAATGCCTGTAAGTGTATGAGACTACTTGGAAATAATGAATGTTATTTGATAGTTAATAACTACGTGTAAGTCCTGGTGTGAAGAAAATAACAATAAATTATAATGAAAAAGTTCATATGTAATACAAAATTATGTCCAAAATTTGCTTTCAGTTTGGTATATAGCTATCAAAGTTTTATGTAAGCACATTCCTTACATAGTAGAGAACCTCAAGTCTTTTAACCCAGAGACATATATACATGTACAATATACTAACAGTATATACATCACTGTTTAGCCATATATGATCTGGAATTTTTTTTTTTTTTGTGGTGGTGGTGGTGGTGGGGGGGGGGGGGGGGGTAGATGTCTATAGTCCTTTATTTAATCTGCACACTAATGTTAGACTAGTGCTTAATGTAGTTAAAGGACTCTCTACTATGAAGTGATTCCAGAAAAGTATCATTTCCACTTTTGCTACCATGCATGAAATGACAAAATATTAACTTAATGTTGAGGAATTAAAGCTAGCTACCAAGAATTAGATTACATTTCCTGCCTTTTTTCTACCCACATGTAATTTGCAAGGAGGAAAAGAACGTGTTTTACATTCATTCTTTTGCTCTTCTTCCATGTAAACACCAAACTATTTATAAATAAGCTGATGTTTCCATGAATTTTAAAGAATTACATGTACAATAAAAATTTCAATGTAGAATGTTGTAACACAAGATTAATTTTGTTTTTAATTAGTTACCAATCATCAAAGCCTTTGCTATTCTGAAGAAGTGTGCAGCCTTGGTTAACCAGGAGTATGGACTTGATCCAAAAATTGTCAGCTACATTGTTAAAGCAGCAGATGAGGTGTGTATTGTATAAACAATGAATTCTGAAAAATAACAGTCTACTAACTGAAGGTGTTGAAATGAAATTTAAAAAATTCAGAGTATACTTATAAATAAAATGAATCACTATTTCAAGAATAAAAAAATATGTTTTAATTGTTTTAATCTATTTTAAAATTGCTGAAAGAGAGTTAAATTTTATGTAAGTACTGTAAACCAACTATTATTCACAACTTCTATTAGCAGTTTACCGGTTAGTCCATCCAGGACTATTAATTTTTGCATGTGGAAAGGTATTTAACAGAAACACAAGTAAGTTAATTGTTTGCAGCAAGAAATATTTGCAAGTGAAAGAAGGTCAGTTAAGTCGCTGATATTTCTCTCACATGAATAAAATTTGTTTTACAGTAATGAAAACAAAAGTGAGAATGCAGGGATACATAGCAGTATTTACCACAATTTAAAGTAGAGATAGTCATACCTATGCAGGGTTGTCCCTAAGAATTGAAATAGCAGGGGACATTAAAAAAGTAGAAGGAGGTTTGAGGTTCCTCCCCTAACAGAGGGTTGAGGGGGAATACCAGAATAACCAGGAAATTATGTCATTATAGATAGGGAAATTCCCTGGCCCCCGGTCTTAGGGACAACCCTGCCTATGTTAAAATAATCATTTTGTGTTATTAATCTGCTGCACATGAAATAGCAGGGGACATTAAAAAAGTAGAAGGAGGTTTGAGGTTCCTCCCCTAACAGAGGGCTGAGGGGGAATACCAGAATAACCAGGAAATTATGTCATTATAGAATAGATGGGGAAATTGCCTATGTTAAAATAATCATTTTGAGTCATTAATCTGCTGCACATGGCACTTATTCTAGATGAATAATTTTCTCTCTGTTGTCAGATAATTGATGGTCAATTGTGGGACCACTTTCCCCTGGTTGTTTGGCAGACAGGGTCAGGGACACAGAGCAACATGAATGTTAATGAGGTGATCAGTAACAGGGCCATACAAATGATGGGAGGAGAAATGGGCTCCAAGCAGCCAGTTCATCCTAATGACCATGTTAACATGTCCCAGGTATGATCCGCCATTAAAATGATTATATTGGACCTGACAGTTCTCACAAGCATCCAAAAATGATAAGAACAGCTAAATGGGACATTTATATGATGTTAATATATAATAATATTATTATATTATATATAATATATATGTTAATTAATTAATTTTAATATGAGGTAATATTTTGCAACATGTAAAATCATTCTGTTGCTTGAAATACATGTATGAACATTAAATGTAAATTTGAGAATACATGTATTAAAGTGTATTATAGTGTAAATGTTATTCAAGCTTTTTTCCCCCAATATTGGAATTCGTAAATAATACTGTATGTGTACTTAAAAAAGCAGGCTTCATATTTTAGCGGCTTTGGCGCAGACAACGGAGCGCTAATTTATGAATACCCCAAAGAAATCATTTATACCGTAAATCTGGAAATTTTTACGTCGATTTATTTTTGCGAATCTGGGTCAAAAAGCTGTTGATTAATTTTTACGTTTCAATATTTTGCGAATTCACATTGGTGCTAAAATTAAAAAGCGCTTAAAATTTTCATAGCAGTTTATAAGTTACGCATGTACATACAATATTAAACAATGCCAACATTCAATAATCGGATTATAAAGTACACATGTACATACAATAAATTACGCACGTACATACAATCCTAAACAATGCCGATGATCAATAATCAGTTAAAAATATTAGAAGAGATAAAACATTTAAACTATTTAAATTTTTCATAACATTTTAATAAATCACGCATGTACATAAAATATATAAAACAATGTCAGCTTTAAGTAACCTTCAGATAAAAATGTTTGTTCTTAGATAAAGCAACTGGTCTCTCTCTCTTAGAGAAATAATTTAAAAAAAGAAATACCGGTACTGCCTGTCAAACCATCGGATGATATTGAATGTAGTGAAGGCTTTCTGACGCACGGATTATCACGGGTAATTAGCTTGTAGTATAAACAGGTTTCTTAAAATTACCACTGCTTACGAACACCTGTTCATCTTGTTAAAGATAGCAATTTTTTTTTGTTTTTCATTTTTTGTTGTTGATTTATTTTTAAGAAATATATTTTTGCAAATGCAATGCGCGAGCAAATTTGCTAAAAATTTATCTACAGTAAAAATTTCCAGATTTACAGTATATACAATACACAGCATGGACATGCGTAGCATTAATTCATGTTTACGCCAACAACTCCATACCCAGTGATTGCGCAAAATTTTAATTACACAAATTTATGTACATGTACAGTATACCCCACAACTGAAGATTTGTTAAGTTTCTGACTCGTCTTTCACCAGGAGTGTGGCACCTTGATTGCAACTCTTTTCTACTCCTGTTTAACAATTAAAAAAAAAACATGCTTTTTTTACTAAGCCACATGACATAAAAATATAACAAATCTGTTACTTTTGTAGAGTTCAAATGATACCTTTCCCACAGCCATGCACATTGCTGTTGTCTTAGAGGTTCATCAGAGGTTGTTACCAGGGTTACAGATCTTACATAAGGCCCTAGCAACCAAACAACAAGAGTTCAAGGACATTGTAAAGATAGGCAGAACCCATCTACAGGTTAGGTTGATAGATTTTCATTGATATACATTGAAGTCTACTCAAAAATTTTGTTTCTCTTTGTGTTTTTCAGTTCAACCTAAAGTTTGGTTAGCAGGGAGTGGTTGTACATGTATTTTTGTGCTTCTCAAGGTTATTGAATGTCATTGTAATGTAGTTGCATGCACTTGACCTTTAAAGGGGGGGAACATTATTTTAAGAAAACAGCAAGAAACTTTGGGAGGGCAGAGACAGCTGAAAAGAATAACAAATAAAATTTTTCATTTATTGTGTTTGAATGAGTTTTCCAAGGTTATTCTCTGAAAACATATCACAAGTCAAAATTCTATTATCCCAATAACTTTAGGAATTAAGAACAACAGTGGGCAAGTAGTGTTTTTGTTTCCTTTTTTGTCTGTTTTTTTGTTTTGTTTTTTTTGTTTTTGTTTTTTTTTTGTACGCTGTGAATCATAACAACTGCTGTTCTTTCTCTGAAATGGTTTATCAAAGACACAATGTATTAGACTTTAAAAAATGTAGCTTTTTGAAGATTTATTTTTTCAATTTGTTACAGCTACATTTCATTTGCTACTCACACTTACGAAGAATCTTTGGAAATTTTGATATAAAAACTTATGAAAGTGAGAATCAGTATTACTAATTACAAAATTACTAACCTAAACATCAAGCATTGATCAGCATGTACTACCAGCAGCCTGCATTGCTAGCAATCAGCATTCTGTGCTATTACTAGCTTTCAAATCAGCATCTTCAGTATTTTCATCAATGCTGCTTTTTTTTTTTAGATATCGTTCATTCTTTAAGATATCAGATCAGTTTATTTTTTTTTAAGATATCAGTCATTTTAGCCAAAGGATTGAGCATTTTATTTGCAACTTTTGTGGAAAACTTGTTTAAATGTTTATTTAGTGAAAAACTTACAATGATTAAATGAAATTTTATTGCTAAACATGTCTAAAATCAAGTATTAGATACATGTATACTTCTAATGCTACCTAAACTTCAGCTAAGCCAAACAATAAAAATCTTGACCTAGTTTATTTAACCAGTAATAAACTGGCATAGATTTTATAGCTTTTTGGCATACATTCAGCCAACATTAGAAATCCACTAATTAAAAAAACCAAGCTTTTAACATTACCTTTCATAAAATTCAATAATTCTGTAATGGAGGAGGTCTGTGTACATGTACTACATTGATTTTACAGGATGCCACACCGTTGTCCCTGGGTCAGGAATTCAGTGCCTTTGTACAACAGATTGAGTATGGAATACAGAGAGTGAATGCCACACTTCCCCGGTTATATGAGTTGGCAGCTGGTAATGTTTTATTTATTGTCCTTTATTAAAGAAATTAAAAGAGCAAACTTTGTTGAAAAATTCTTTCCCTTGGTAGAGTTTTTATTCTTAATTAAGCTTTAACTAGATTACACTTGGGGTTGATTATACATGCAATCATAGGTTATGTCTTGACTCCAAAACCAAGGTCATATATACACATGGTCAAGTCACAGGCCTGAGGGTTTTAAAGTGTAAAATTCTAATGTGCTCATAGAAGTACAATCTTTGTGTTGGAGGAGCATTAAGAGGTCATACTTGGCACAAAAGCATTCCAATAATCAAGAGTATTAAAAGGGCAATCAATCTTTGAGAGATAATGGCTGAGTTTTTAAAAAGTTCCCATTTAATAAACTTGTTGGAATGACCAAAGTTATATGCAGCTTTTTTTTTTATGTATTATACATGTTCAATTGAATTTTATCAAGCCATGATATATGGAAGGTCAAGGATAGGGCAACATAGTTGACCAAAACTGTATAAAAACATGTCAAACTTCCTCGTGTATTGTTGAATCAATTTTGTTCCAATCATGATTTTTATCAGGGCTAGGATGGGGCTACATTGTTGTTTATTTTTAGAAAAGCAAATATATAATGTGTTTCGATCCCCTCCCCCAATTATACCCTTGGTTATTACTACATGTATTTGATAAGTTGCCTTGAACCATTATAAAAAAAAATTATAATGCAATGTTTGATAACATATTAATGGACTGAATATATTTGAATTTGATGGTTTAAAGTTACTGACTCAGTAAGAAATTGACCTTGATGAAAGACATTGACTTAAATAACTATTTACATCATTATTAACATAAAAACATTGATTTTTAAGGAGGAACAGCTGTAGGGACAGGACTAAATACCAGGATTGGTTTTGCTGAAAAAATTGCTGCCAGAATTGCAGAGGAAACTGGTAAGATTACCATTTTTATTTTCAGCCATTACAATAATGTACAGAAAAAATCTGTTCCACATTTCAAAAAATGTTGTTTTCATCATTTGTAAATGAAAAATGTTCATATGTGAGTTATGTACACTGCTTAAACCTTTATAGACAATTGATTTTTTTTTTTATGGAGGTATTCTTTCACCCATAGGGTTTCCTTTTGTGACTGCTCCAAACAAATTTGAGGCCTTGTCGGCTCATGACGCCATGGTGGAACTTCATGGAGCTCTGAATGTGTTAGCCTGCAGTCTTATGAAAATAGCCAGTGACATCAGACTTCTGGGGTCAGGGCCTCGATGTGGAATCGGTGAACTTTCTTTACCTGAAAATGAGGCTGGGAGCAGCATTATGCCAGGTAAACTGACAAAATGTGTTCTCAGTCCATGGACCGTAAGGGTTTTCATCGACTGTTTACTGTCATTGAATTTTATTGATGACTTGAGCATGTTGGAGATTGTAGCAGCTACATAAACTCTACATGGTGCTGCATTCTTAAATTATACACAAAGAAAGCTAAGTTAAATAATTGAGGCTACATGTATGTACCAATGCCAAGATCGCAACCTAAGTTACCACTTTTCATCACACCTGATATTTACATAATCTTGTGTTTTCTTCTTTCTGCTTGACTTTCTTTACCTTTGTTCCAAAAATTGATTACTACTGGACTGTTTTCAAGATCATAGCAGCTAGCCTAGTTGCTAGGTTATGAATTAACACTTGTTATCCTTAAGGGGATGAAGGACACATGGTCACATGACTTTGTTTAACTACGTCATAGTCCCCATTTATATAAGTGCAAAATGTGTAAAGCATCAGTTCTTGTATTAATTTTTGGCAATTTTTTAACTCTAATTACTATCTTATTTAAAAAAAAAATTAAAGTTTTAAAATTCTTGTAAACATTAAAAAATTATGAAAAAGATTGATCCACTCCTCTATTTCCCTAAACCGCGGTTCCAACAAGTCGGTGATGTCATACACGATCTATCGTATTCGGTGAAAACAGGGGCTGTATTATTATGTAAAAACAGGTCATAATCAGTATATGATGAAATATTTTGAGAAATGGGGAACACAAAAATTATTTTTGCATGGCTGATGACGGAAATCTTATGTAGGTATATCTTATTTTGCTTATTAAGCTTACGTGTGACATCATAGTTGGTTTTTCCCGTAACCCTCGAGAAATGTAACATGACACATTTTTGTCATGCTTATGTCCTCTTTAACAATGTCCTGTGAAATATTGAGGGCAGCTTCACCATTCGAAATTTTTACAGTTAATCAATAATTTGAAAGATTTGCATTTCAACACAAATAAAAAATATTGAATTTTTTTGGAAATTAAGTTTTTTATTGTTTAAGTTGTCTTAAAAAGTGCGTAATTTTCCTTATCCAGATGCAGTGTGATAGAAGAAACTTGCTTTTTCGTTTTTTTAAAACCCTATTCATACTCTGAAATATTTTAAAAGATATATGTCCACTTTAATATTTTTTATATATGCTTAAAAAATCCCATTATGGACAGAGTAATGAGCCTGGAAACATGGAGAATTAAAACTCCACTTAGATACTGTAGTGCATAGTATTTGTCAATCTCCAAAATAAAGTTAGAAACTCAATGATGTAACTGCTTTAAGATATGTAGGACATACTTAATTAAAAACATACAAAATATGAAAAAAAATGAATGACAAGTTTTTTTCAGCTTAAGGTCCTTCTCCTCCTTAAGTAGGGCTAGCCTCATCTTCATTCCACTTCATAGAGCTCTCTTAGCAATACCTACATACCAGCTAAGATCTTAAATGAAGCCCTGTTCATCTAAAATCCAACACCTGGTGGCTAGTTAGTGGCGGTACTAGAAATCCAAGTATCTAATACTTAAGGGCTAGTATAGGCAATATGACTTGAATGAACCCTGATATATCATGACTTAAAGGAAAAATATCTGTAGCTTTTGATCTAGAATGTAGAAGCTTAAATTTAAAAGAGGGTAATTTTTCTCTTTTTATTTTTAAAAAAGCCTGTAAAATTGAATAGATTTTCCTTAATCTTGTTATATCAAACATATGGAGACTTTTAACATTAATGTATTTCCAGGAAAGGTAAATCCTACACAGTGTGAAGCTGTTACCATGGTAGCAGCTCAGGTGATGGGAAACCATGTTGCTGTGACGGTGGGTGGAAGTAACGGCCATTTTCAGTTGAACGTATTCAAACCAGTGATTGTCACAAATGTTTTACAATCTGTTCGCCTGATAGGAGATGCGTGTGTATCATTTTCTAAAAACTGCATCGAAGGAATAATTCCCAATACTGAGAAAATCAACAAACTTCTAAATGAGTCTCTAATGTTAGTCACTGCCTTAAATCCACATATCGGATATGATAATGCGGCTAAAATTGCCAAACATGCGCATATCACAGTGACCACCTTGAAGGATGCTGCTGTTTCATTGAGGTTGTTGACTGCTGAGGAATTTGATGTCAAAGTACAACCAAAAGACATGCTAGGACCAAAGTAATAGTAGCCTCAGAATTTTGAACAATATTGTAGATAACGCTGAAACATATGATTAATTGGGGGTCAAATTTATTTATAATAGATTTTTCTTTTACTTTGCAATTTTTTTTAATGCAGTCTTCATCTACTCGTATTGTTATGTGATATTTTTGAAAACCTTGATATTTGATTGATATTACCCTGGGACTTTTGTTGCCAATTATAATGGAGGTTTAGTAGCTGTTTTACCCCCAGTTTAAATATCATAATTACAAAGTGTGTCATTAAGGTCGTATGAAACATACATATGTACTTAACAATGTACCTTTTCCTCTTATAACTCTCCAAGATATTCTTAATTTAAAATCACAATACCATTAGATTTTCTTGTACAAAAAAATCAGTGTTTTGAACAGATATCTAATTATAAAAATCCCTGTATATTTTTTAATTTAAGAATTATATTAAAAATAGTTTTAGCTGGTAATTCCTCAACATTTGATTCAGAAAGGGTGTACAAGATTACCAGACATCATAACATCCTTCAATTATTGGAACTCTTAATTTGTACAGGGAATAAGAAAATAAAGTTCAAAACTATGTTGTGTATGTCCTTAAAAACAGATTTCATTATTAACTCACATTTAAGAGGAAAACTCCTAAATAAAAATCTTTATCGAGTGAATGTACTGTTAAGGCCACTTGATATACCCCCCCCCCCCCCCAATCATGAAAATAGACACTTTTACTATGTTTATATAAGTAAAATGAATAAGTTTAGCCACATAAATTTTCCTTTTCTTTTGGAAATCTTTTTTTTCTTTTAGAAAAAGAAAAAAATGAGAAATTTGATAAATAAGAGACTCCATGAATAGAGACTCCAATAGAGGCATCCATTAATTTCCTCAATTCTACATTGTTATCATTTCAATGTTTACAGTATGTTGGTCTTTCAGTATACTCAACCCATCAAAGAGATGAATTTAATATAAGTTTGTAACTTTTATAACCAAGAAAAATAAGGGTATTAGAAACTGTGTTTTGTATGTGTACTCGATATATATATATACATATCAATTAATTCAGTTATAATGGTATGAAGTGCCTTTTGATGTTAACATTCCATGAGTGTAGGACAGTTGTCTCTCTTTGAACCAGAACTCTCTGTGAAACATTTTACATTTTTTTTCATTAATACAAAATATGTTAGAAATTAAACAGAAATCATCTTCCCAAGTCAAGGGTTTCTGATCCACTCCGCTCCACATAAATTCACGTTTATGTGGAGGAGCGGAGTGGATCAGAAACCCTGGACTTGGGAAGATGAAAGGAAATAAACCCTGTGGTTACAAAATTTCCATTGCGTTTTTGAACTGAACAAAACTGTGTTTAAATAAAGATGATTTTTGGTTTAAATATGTGATTTTTCTTTTGATATCGTTTTTAAATTATAAAACATAGAGACATGATTTGACATTTTTAATGATAATGACCAGACTATTCTTGCTTCCTGTTTCAGATTATACATGTTGATTTAAAGGTTGTGGAAGATTTTTCGACATACTCCAGTTACTTATGGAAAGACGTTCATTATCTTGTCAGAAGCTTATCAGTCTAGTATCGTCTCGTTGTTCATTGTTAGGGGAGTTAAAAAAAAAAAGGGAAAGTGCCAAAATATCTTAATATCCAGGTCTTTTTATATGCAAGTATTTATCACCTGTCACATCCAAACTTCAATATGCTTACTCAGGCGGTATATTTATAGTCATTGGTGATATCATGTTATGGTTCGTGTCGAGAGAAAAAAAAACGATCAAGTTCGTCTCGATCTTTGATACCCCTAACTTAAAACGCCAAGGACGTAAATCTATACATACAATCAGAAACGAAACATGAGCATGTATGTCGCTTTGGCGCCCGGTTGGAAGAGTTGATGTCAATATTAACAGAGTATTAACGCTATCATCGTTCAGTTAGCTTGATACAAGCTTCATAGTCAACATCCGCAGCGGAAAGCAAAACAAACGCGTTTCTAAATGAAGCAAAACACCCACTGCATGCAACGTCATTTGCATCGTTTACGATCGCTTTTTGTTTTGATTGAGGGGGGCTTAATTTTTTTATTTTGTTGATAAATATGTCAAAATATTGAGCGGTAAGGGTGGAACAAAGATTTGATAAGGGCAATAGACAGGCAGACCCCCAGAAACCTTCGATCCCTTATCATCGAAACTTTATAGGTATAAAAAGGCTATATATATACTACGTCACGTGCTTTATACAGGAAACGTTTTCTATAATCACAAATCCATTATACTGTCTGTAAAAAAAATAAGGTTGTGCTCTTCTTAAATATTGAAAAAAAGAAATGGCAGACAAGAGGTATATACTGTACTTTTGGCATCGTTAATCGCCTACTAATCTTGCAGATTTAGACCATTTCACAGTTGGTTTAGGGAAATATATGGAACTTGTGTTAAAAATCAGATGATATATCAATTGAAATCAGCAGGAAGCTTGTGTTTTACAAGCTATCTTCATTGAAATAAATTATATAAATTATGTAACACTTTGTAGGTAAAGAAGATAGCTTAGAGTTAGCATGTTGTCATGGACTAGTAAAAATTCCGAAATTCTTTAGGTATAAAGTAAAGTGTATTATCGCAAAAATTTTTTAATGGCAATCTTCAGTCGTACATGTTTCGATAAAACAATGAAAAGAAAGAACGGCGATGAACATCCTAATCTGTACTGCTTTTTGTCTTTCAAGAGGTAGTGAATTTTGTGACCTGTTTCTTGCAGGAATCTTGTGCATGTAAAAGATTTCAATAGTACAGGGGAAACAAGATGAAATATTCAACACGAAAATAAAATAATCAAAATAAGATGTCGGTTGTTTTTTTCGACGTAGATATATCTGTGATGATTAGCGATATCACATGCATCGTAGATCAGACAAACCAAAGGGTCCGTTCTGTTCTCCTATCTGGGCTTATCTCGTGACGTGTCACAGATTTATCGTTACCAGAAAACCCAATATTGTATGTGATAGCCGTCAATTCTTATGGTGCCATTTGGAAGATTTTACTTCAAAGTTTTATAAAATTGACGACATTTCTGTCACTTTCAAGCCAAACAGCGTGTTTCCTAATCTCTGGACCATCGAAAGAGAGAAATTCGTAATCTCGTGTGCTCTTGTTATCTATCCATTTTCATCAGTACGCATCCAGACGATGTTTACTTCAAGAAACTCGCGAAAATACATTACGCAAATGTCATGGAACCTTGTGTAAGCTAGTAGTATCTTTAAGCATCCCAATTTGTCTAATAGATAAGGATCTCACAGGTTGCTCTGGTATCTAGATATCTAACATTTGTTGAAGAACCTAATTAATATGACATTATATTAGATGAATTAAAGAAACCATGCTCTTGATGAATATTAAGTTCGAAAAACGCAGCTGACATGATAACCAGCAAGATTTTTAAATCGAACACACGCCTTTTACATCCGACAAAAAAGAAAAAAACAGGAAGTTTCACAGCAAGCATAACCTTTGTTTAAAAGACGAGTTTTCTGCAAAAAAGATAAATCACATAAGGTATAAAACGTAATCAATCAAATAAAATTTGTTTTAATGTGCAGTGCGTGCAGTTGTTGCACCATGTCGACTTTAGGATCAGTCGCCGAACTCTTTAAAAACGCGTGCAACACGTCTGCTACTACACGTTGAAAATGGTTTTTTCTGCTCAAAAATCCAAAATTAAAGATTGGAGAATGCAAAAAATGTAAAATTTTAAAGATGAACGTTTGAGTTATGCCGTCTTTGTCATGTCTAAATTTTTGAAAGATCGTATAAGAAAGGAAAGAACAGGGAAAAAACACACAGAGGTTTTAAGTCTTATTTTGTGTAAAACGTTAAAGTCAAAACATGACGGATTTTAGATTAGTGATACTTTCAGTGAAAGCCCGATCTGGACATTCCACAGCTTTGCTAGCGCTCACGTGTTGACTCGCGACGAATGTTTTAAAGTCAAATGTATCTACGAGTTTTCTTCATCCCCCAACCCCAAAATCTACAACATGCATGGGCGTGGACCCAGGGGCTGGGGTTTAGATCCTCTTTTTCAGACAAAGAAAAAAAAAACCCATACATACTTATGAGAGGTCAACAAAGGGTTCATAAAAGTATTACTGAATAGGAAGTCTAAAAACTGTCTACAGGTCTCACAAAATGGGAGGAGTGAGTTATTAAAACTGTCTTAACGATCGTGTGATGGGAACCCCCCCCCCCCCTTCTAGTGGTGGACATCCTCCCTTCATAGATTTCTGTTATTCGCTTATGACATGAGTGCCTGTTTTGCCTTTTTTCCAGCGAATTCTTCCACTTTTTAAACTCACCTTTCTGTGGTGAATAACTAGAAGTTTGTAAACATTTTATTTTCATGATTTTGTTTGACCCTCTTTTCAATTTTATGTGCTTACATTTTCTCTTCCATATTAGTTTAACATAAAATTCTCAGTAAATTAATGTTTAAAATGCCATATTTTACAATGTTTATTATGGACTGTAATCTTTTCCCAAATATTTCGCTTAGTGGTGCCCATGATAATTTCTCTATTCAATTTAAATCTGATATTTACCTTTTCCTTGGGTAAAATAAAATAAGGTCAAATGAAAAACTACACAGTCTATGAATCTCCAAAAAAAAAAAAATTCCTTCAAACATGGGCAATCATATGGTAGTTTCATGATTCAAGTACATATGATTATAAATAAATTATTTAAACCTGAAAATGGACATTTTAATCTTTAGAAACCGCTATCTAAATGAAAAATCTTTTTCCAGGATGCTGATTCTCGTTTGGATGGGGGTGGGGGTCCAAAAAAAAGATGTGTAAACAGTTTTTTTTTTATTACAAATGCATGAAATACAATAACTATTAACAGAAACAAATTGTTTACAATCTTGACAATATGGTGGACGGTCATGTAAAAGGGGGAGACAATCAAGTCCACACACACAGGTAAAAGAGAATGGCAGAATAAATTTTACAGGTAAAGAGAAAATTCATCTGAACACACTTGGAGAAAAAACTACTATTCTATATAAACATGATAAAATAAAAGAAGGTTTTTGTAATCTTACATAGACCAATTCAATTCTCTTCTAAACAAAGCCAGAAATAACAAATTATAATCAAGCAATATGTGTAATTTTAACAATAGTATGTTACAAATGCTTTCATAAGTTTATCTACTTCTGAACATGTGAAAAAAAAATAAATATGAAAAAAAGATTGGTTTTAAAAAGCAGAGGGTATTTTTCTCATAGAAAGCATAAGACTATGATTTTTTTTTAAATTGGTCCAATAACATTTGAAGTTCATTGTATGAAAACAAAAAGTTGATAATGATTTCAAGAGATATCTATGTAATCCACCAAAACCATGCAAAAATGTCCGAGTTTTTTTTTGTATTTGAAACAATAATTTTGAACAATATGTTCAGTCTTGATGATTTTTCCTTTTTGGGGTAAATATATTTGCTGAGGGCAGAAAGCACCCAGCAGAAATTGTTTTCTACTGTTACAGAGAGGAAAAAAAACAGGTGATTAGATGCACTTGTTAAGCTTATAGTTTGTATGGCACGAAATGGGTAAAATGTATGAATATGATGAATTAAGAAAATGATAGAACAATAAATGAAATTATGCATGTAATTCATTATAAAACCAATTTTATGATAAAACAATCTCAACAAAGAACATCTCCCTATTACTGTTACAGTAATGCATGTTTTGATCAAGTTGTTTAAGGATTTTAATGTACATTTTTTTTTCTTTTCTAAAGGGTGATGGGAGAATAAGAATGTCAGATAAAGATAAGTGAATTTACAAAAAGATAAATATTTTTTTTTGTTTACCTGAGGGTATCTTTCATTGTGATTTTTATGCAAGTACATGTACGATACATATTGTATTATACTTAAATTACTCAAGGCCTAGATAAATAAATAGTGTGTTTCCTATTCCAACAAAAAATAGGGTAGGTAGGTAGGGAAAACATTTTATTTTATTTTAACATTATATTAGTTAAAATTCAACTTTGACAATAAACAAAATGAGAAAAACAAAGGGTTCATTTCTTTTTCCCAAAAGGTCGGCTTACTAATGGCATTTCTGTTTAATGTGTATAGGATATGCATTCTCTCAAACACTGAAGTGATCGAGATTAGGATTCCTAATAGTGAAAATGGAATTGTTTACTTCCCGAAAGATATCAGCGGATAAATTTTTCAGGGTTGGCTCATATATTTTAGGGTTGGTCGGGGAACTGGAAACACACAATTTATTTATCTAGGCCCAATGACAATATAATACACTATACCTGGGCAAAATGCATGGATTTATTTTACAACATACTTCAGACTATGTAAACACTATATGAACATTACCCTTTTTTCTATCTGAATTTAAGAGTTCCACTTCTAAAATTTTTGGAAAATGAATAAAAATGTTACAAGCATGAGGAGGTCACTAATCAATTGACACAACACTTTCAAAGAATAACATGATTTTTTTAACTTGAAAAAATTACAGTTGTAAAACTCATTCAAGCAATTAAACTTCAACCGCATGTTTGCAATTCCTAATTCTGAACAACTTTACCATTTTCACCCCTCATAAGCACCATAATGTTGCAATTGAAAATGACTTGTTTTTCAAATGTTAACTTCCCTCCTACATTCATTATACATGTACTAATTGTATTTGCAGAACTGTCAATAAAATATTGTTAAAACTAAGAACCATTGAGAAATAAATGCTGTAAAAGATGGGTATCAATAGAGAGCTACCTTTTAATATGATGATGCATGTATAGACATCTTAAAAGGATCAGATACAAAATCAATCCTACAAAAGGAAATAATAATAGATTACTTCTGAATAAGAGGTCTATAAATCTATATGCATAAAACATAAGTAATGATATTAAATAAATTTTATGCTATCATTTTTTGAACAAATAGAAAAAAATCAGTTGTTTAATGTAGTTTGGACATGCTTGTTTTCAGGGATGATTGGGGTGAATATGGTATCCATGTAGTTATATATACATGTACTTTGATTACATTTAATTTTTCATTTATTTGCATACATTCTTTGAAAGGCAAATAGATATTTTGTTTAATTGAATTCTAGCTCTGGTAAATGTTTTATTCTTCAGCACATTAGTATTGTCTGAGATGACCCTAAATCAATGGGGGGAAAAATACCCAGGTCAAACACTGCCAAAATTCAGTAACCCATACTGTTAATTTTGCAGGATGTGGTGAAAAAAAAAATGTACTGGCCCTATAGTAATAAACACATCATATGGAGAACATTCCTCCAACAACAAAATAAATTACTATTGCAAAATATAAATATATATATATAAATAAATATTTACAGACCTACATAATCAATTCAAACAATGACATATTTTTAAAAATAAACATAATCACAGCAAGCCTCGTTAAAGATGATTTTTTTTAGTGTTTCTAGAAGCACACACACAATGTGCTGTGCTAGCTGGTACACTGGCTCGAAGCACACATAAGCACAATAGTGCTGGCACAGTGAACACAGTTCCTCAACACTGGGCTATCACAGTCCATAATTACTGCACAATATTGAGCAGTTCACTTCATGGTAAAGTCAACAATAAAGACAACTATTGCACATTCTGAGGACAATGTTTCCCTCAATTCATTTACGTGTTTGTGCAGTTTCATGTCAGTGTCATTAATTTTTTCATACTAGAAAACAGAAAAAGTAGATTTTTTCTATAGCTATGATGAGGTTTCTGATTCTGCCCCTTTCATATACCACTGATCTGAATTCTCAATACACACAACAGTCACTGGGTCTGTAGCTATGGTTACTGTTTTCTGGGGCCCAGACCGACTGGTACCCGGTGAATTGGTTCCCGGTCTCCGTGATGATTGCCCAGGAATAACTCTGTGAGCAGATGGTCTTGTGTTGAGCAGAGACATAGTGTCCGAATCATCAGATTTAGGTGAACTACTGCTTTCTGATGTTGACAATGGAGCATCTATATTATCTAAATCTAAATAATTTCTATCCCTGGACAACAACTGTTCTATCTGAACTCTCAGGTCTGTGAAATTAGGACGCTCTGATGGACTCTCTATCCAGCATTGACGCATGATGGTATATCTAAAAAGGAGTATTGCAAAAATAAATTGACACACTCTAAAAAAAATGAATGTTTTCAATCACTGAATGATTAATCTTAATTTTGAGTTTTACTGCATTGGTCACATTTTTCAGATAAGTGCTTTGAAATTCTTTGTTGAGATTCTACCTCCTGCTTGATCAGTTGCTTTGCATCAAATACCCCTCAAAAACCATGGCATATCTTGTTTTGTCAGTAAGAAAAATAAAGGGAAAAATTCGAGTATTTCATTCAAATACTGATAATGCAAGTGCAGACAACATTTCTTAAAGCAAAAATATCACATACTCAGATAAAAGATCTTTGAAATTCTTGAATTTGCCCCTGAGTTGACAGAGCTAAGTAAATACAAACGTGTTCCCACAACAGTATCTTAGATAAAGAAAAATATAACACCTCTTAGTATAAACTGTTTGATCCTATGTACAGCCATGTCTTTTTAAAGCACGTCTGCACAATTTCAAATGACTGACATATCTAAAGAGTGCAAAAAAGTCAATCTCTATATATGCTCCCTTATTCTTCATTATTGAAATTTTTGAAAAAAAAGGGGGGGGGGGGGGATAACTGCTTTAAGAATCCGTATGCTGCAAAAATAATTTTTATTTTCACTCTTTAACAGAATTCTTCTGTAGTATGATTTGCCTTAATTTTGCAATATATAGAAAAGATGGGATAACAAAGCAGGTGTCTGGATATTAAGTGGGTTTGACTGTTTTGGACTTACAAGAGTGCTATCATATAGGTATATGTACATGTTATCTTAATCCAATATACACCTACATCCTGTTCGCAAAAGCCTTGGTGGAGATACAAGTTCATTACAATTAAATATCCCACGAACTCACAACCTGAAGTCTATTTCAAGCCCCAAAAAACAAACTGATAAAATGCTAAGATATTAACCGGAAAAGAACTTAGATTCTAAAACTGATGAAAATCATAGTAGGGCGTGACCATTTATGCATTATTTTCTTTTTAAATATATCTTATTGTTCGCATCCTGTCTATATCTCAAGGATATTAATGCTTTAATTGAGAGAATAATAAGAATATATAAATGAAATCTCTTCTACATTATATTATTAAAATTGTCTGAATTCGATGCTTATGTAATGTCTATTACTCTTATGTAATAAAAATTTAATGCATTATCAGATTTCCCTCAGCAATAAAGTTGATCATCATAAAATACATATCCTTGTGCTGTGAACCCTTTCTCATACATGTATCTTATGAATCAAACATCTTTATGACCCCATATTTCATTGCACATTCAAGGTGCCAAATTACGTTACAATGTGATTGCAGCTTGTTCAAAAACATTCCACTTGGCAAAGGATCTGATACAAAGTGGACCCCAAAAAACTGAGACCTTGATAGAAGAACTAGGAAGAGAGATACATGTAGGGGTGATAAGAGATGAAGAGTACAAGAAAATGATGCTGAGTGGAGGTGACCTTGACAAAGGGAGGAGAAAAACTGCTCGAAATTAGCAGAAACAGCAGCCAAAACAAAGTAAAAAATAGGGGCATAACGGCTCATCAGGTAGATACATAATTTGTGCTAAATGCTCGCTGGTGACATTTTGAGGTTGAGGAATAAGGAGGTTCTGTCTGGAAAATTTTCAATGCTGACAACAAAAGAACAATACAACTGACAAATTTATAGTTTCAGTAGAGAGATTTGCATACATAGTTTGAGTTTTGTTGGGATCCACACCTGCTGAGAAATTTTATCACATTTCCTGTGTAGAAGGAGGATAAAGTTCCCCCACCTTGTCAGTCTGTCTGCCAAAATTTTCATCAGTCAAAATCAAATTGAGTTAATTTGAAGAGGTCTAATACACTGTTTGATAGCTGACAAGGTAAACAAACCAGTTCTAAAGTCATTGAGCGCAGATGGGGGAAATGTTTGAAGACACAGCAATTGAAAAACACCCTAATCCAATTAGCTGTGAAAGAGGATAGAGATAAAAATATATGTTTCAGATGATAGTAGGCCAGTATGGTGCCTCTTTACCCATAATGCACTGCCTGAACCAAACAACACTGGGTTTGACCTTGATAATGAGGGATGACCTCCAGCATCTGCTTCTAATGATTTGAATGATGTAATAAAATGTTTTTTTTAGATACATTTTTTTTTTACTTACAATTCAGATGAACAATTACTGGGTTTCTCCATCCTGTATCCATTGGCTAGAACATAGTAAAGATCTGCTAATGCTATGTTTGGGTATGGGGAGCCACCTGTCAAAAATAAAACAATTTATTGACAAGGAAACCTGACATTGTTAAGCAGTTTTGTTAGGATTACAGTAAATATTTACTAATTTTAAAAATTACTGTAATCCTAAATCCTAAAAATTACAGTAGATTTTCTCCCATGAAGTTTGAGATAATGAGGTTTGACTGTATATAACTTTTTCATAAAAACATGCATTTCATTATTCAAGTACCCTGGTAGCTGTGTTTGCTTTAAACATGTAATTTAAAATCACTGCAGAAAATGAAATCTGTGTTCGTATTGAACGTATAATGTATTTACATGCACGTAACATTGCAACCCTCCTAAATATGCACTATGTTTCTCTTACCCATTGTGATGATCTCCCACATCAAGATGCCAAAGGACCAGACATCACTCTGGGTGGTGAAAATGCGGTCCCTCAGGGACTCGATAGCCATCCACTTGAGGGGAAGCTTGCCACTGGTTATTTTATGATATTGGTTGTCATTATAAATGTCCCGCGACAGACCAAAGTCACAGACTTTAACAATTTTGTCGTAACCTAGAAGGACGTTTCTGGCTGCTAAATCACGGTGAACATATTTCTTTGCTGCCAGGTATTCCTAAACAAAATGAAAGTTGATTTAAGAAAACTTATTTTTAATTATGATGGAAGAAAAATTTACTTGCAAAAATATTCTCCATTTCTTGGTGAAAATTAGTTGTGTACTAGTATCTCACAAAGAACAGTCATTAAGAACTTGAAGAACAGACGTTACTTGTATTCAATTAAGAAGAAACTTAAATATAACCCAAACATGAATTTAGTTTTAGTGACGTATCAATATATCTGAAAAATGAAAATTCTGACAGAAAAAAACTTTGCTAAAAATTATATACATTATACATGTATTTTAATGCACCTAATTCATATACAAGTTTCCATAATTGAACCTAAACTGTCTAACTTCTATTGAATAAATCTAAAAAGCTTAACCATCTCGTTCCTGGTGAACTCATGAACCCAATAAAATCAAACAAAAGATACTCAAAGTTTGATAAAAATATGATAAAATTCCTCAAACATAAAACACAGTCTAAATATGTAATATCAGTTGGCAGGCATGACTTTGGAAGACATGTTAAAACAGCCTCTGTCCAATATTTTGGTTGAATTTGGGGAAGATCTGGCCTGGTATTTTGATTGCTTTGATTTTATCTCCACTGTTGTTGATAGAATGTATAGTAAAACTTTTCAAGATCACAGGCAAAACAAGTCTAAGAATGCTGAAGACATAATTTGGCAACAGCACCTCTCCTATATTTTAAGCTACACTGATAGGGATGAGCTTTGCATGTCCCCTTGGTACTGTGAAGTGCGTTTGATAGTTGGAGATTTTTTTGTTTGAGGTTAGAATGAAGATGAGATAAAGCTAAGTCGAGAAATTCTCAAGAGTTCATACAAATTGTGGTTAAGGAATGTAGGTCAATCAGCTAAAAGTGTTAAACTTCGATATTGGAAAAAGTTATACATATACCTCATCATTAATATGATTAAAAGACAAGCTTCCTAGTAAGAACAGAACACAATCATGATAATGTGTCAATTAAAATTGGTTATATGGGACATAAAAATTATGAAAGAACACCTATAACTTTTTCAACTAATATATAAAATCCTTTTATAATATTCAAGAACACATCAAATTGACCAGTGTGCACTACATGTTAGACAATTGAGATAATTTTCTGATGTGAATTCAGTTAAAGTACATGTAAACTAACCATTGCCATGGCAGTTTGTCTGGCGAAGGACAACATGTCCGCTGGAGTTATAACACCACTGTCAATACCCCCACTCTCATCCATTAGGGAGTATACCACTTCACTGGGACGGCCTATACGCTTCTGGAAATCCCCTTCTAAACGACACTTTCTGCAAGACAAAATATAAGACAATGCTACGATTATGTGAGCACACTCTGAGTTCCAAATGCTAATACATGCTTCACCCATTTTCAAGAGTATCTGACATTCGATCAGCATTTTGAAAGCAAGGAGTCAATAGGTATAATAAACCACAAAAAAAACTTACTTAATTTTAGATAATCTTTATTATAAATATCTGCAGTAATTAAAAATAATTCTTCTAAAATTGATGTTTTACATCTGGTAAAATCTGAGCCAACACAGACAGGAAAAATTATCAAAGAATCTACAACTGGCTGGAGGTTTTAGGTAGGAAATTATCAATGTCTGACAAAAACAAAAATCAGAAGACTTCAGAATTAAAATGACTTGGTCTTCAAATAATAACTAGGAATCTTTTGATATTTATCTAGAAGCTGAAAGTAAACAACTGACAGATTACAAAAATAAGTTCCTAATAAGCAGGATTTTCTCAGCCCCTCGGCCTGATTTAACTGCTCAAATTTGTTAGTTCGAATTGTTCCAGTTTTCAATTACAAAAACCTTGAAACAAATTACTGCTAGACAAAATTTTTGTATTACTTGAACTCAAGAGGGATGCATTGATTAAAGAACATTACAAAATAAAGATCTAAAAGAGCTCAAAGATCTCATTACATTAATGTACATTATTACGTAATCTAATACATTGCATTATTACTTTTTAACAGGTACATATATAGTTTTAAGGATATACATTTGGATTTCAAATTACATTTACATTTTGAAATTTAAAAAAAAAGATTTTTTTTTACATCAACATGGCACAGTAGCGCTATTAGTAGCCATCTAATGGCAATGTTTATGCTACAACGTGCAATTTCTGAAAGTTTTTGCACCAAAAAAAGTTCCTTCTGTCAAATCTGCTATTATTGCTCAACCTGTAGAATTTAATGACATTAAAAGATTAATTTTTCTATTCCTTCCTTTTTAATTTCCTTGTGTCCTGCATAGGGATGTCAATTTTGTCAATAATTCATATTCGAATATTCAATGAAAGTATTCGAATATATTCGAATATTTGATAAAAAAAATAAAATCTGTTTTATTTTAAATATGCATCATCCTACTTTCATGAAAGGTTTAGCGTAGGTATACTTATATTGAAAGTAAAATTGTATGAAGACTTTTGTAGGTGTACAATAAAATTCCATTTGATGTTTGTCAATGTTTGAAATAAACAATTGATTTAAATGTAGAAAGGGATAATTTCAACAAATGAAACGTGTATATATAGTAGCTATACAACTGAGGAACCAGTCGTCTTACCAAAGGCAAGATAGTCGTAACGGTATACTGTTCAGATTTCAATACATGTAATAAATTACAATTATCTACCTAATAAGAGATATGATTATAATCTTTGATAAAATGTTTTTAAAATATAATCAAATATTTCCATAGACAATTTTCCTAGGTAATTAACTAATTTCCCGATAATGAATATAAAACTCAGGATTTTGTACAACCCGAGATAATCAAGTAATTTACACATTTATTCTGAAATTGAGCCCTCTACAATATTAATTGCAGACTAATTCTATATCGGACATTCATTTAATGATCAATTAAATTTGTTTAGATAAGTATGTATACTCTTCACTTTTTAGACATTCAAAGAAGGTTTTCATTTTGTTGTCCTCTATTCTAGATCTGATCGTATTTAACTTATGAAAACTATGAAAGTAAGTTCTGTATTATACATAAAGCATTAAATTATTGTACAATTCATTAACACCTTACTCAAAACAAAATACATGTAATTTAGTAGATTCATAAGATAAGAAAGTACTGAAAGAAATCAGGCGATTGAAATTTATCGCTAGTAAAGTAAACAGGGATAATTCCAAAATTTATTAATCACATTACTTCTTTTTATGAAATCTGAAAAACACCGAATATTCGAATCTTAAATTCATATTCGAATATCAACTCATCGAATGAATATTCGAATGTTCGAATATTTGTTGCCATCCCTAGTCCTGCATTGAAATTGTTCAAGCAAATTAACAAGCATGAATACTTAACTGCACTCTGGGCTTCTTATCAAAGTTTAGAATATGCAGGTTTCAAAAACTACATGTTTGGACTTTCTTTTTATGAATCATCAAGATACTTGCTTAATTAACTGGAAAGCAGAAACTACAAAAAGAAATGACTACTACACCTCACATCAGTTTTGCATTAACACATTTTGAATTTTTTTTTTCCCCATTGATATAGAAGTTTATTTTAAATTCATTTTTATGTTAAAGAAAAAAAAAAAAGATTTAATTTCTTTGTTGATTCATAAATTTAACTTTTTTTTCAATCCTATTCAATTTATTGATTTACGGATTTATTTATTGATAAAATCAACTTTTTAATAATTATCTTAGCATGCTGACATCTTTAACATTTATCTTGTCTTCACATGACAAAAGTTTGTGGGCTCTTTTGGACTATATACACATAAAGTAAAAGTTTGTGTCACATGGTAAATTCAAATCAACTGTATCTCTTTCCGATTTTTCTACTACATAGTATGTTCCATTAGAATGATATGGAAATCTATCCTGTTCTTGAGATTGGAGGGGGGAATGGGTTACTTATGCTGGGGGTGAGGTTCTAAGGATTTAAAGCCCTAAACCAGTTTGCTCAGCTCTGTGTGTCCAGTAATTGTAAATTTGAAAATGTATTAATTAGAATACGGTCCAAGTAAACCATAAGAAATATATATGTACACTGCATGACCACATGCTAACCGAGTCATGAAAATAGCAATGTGCACTCTCAAATCAAAGCTCATTTTCTGCATGCCATGGAAATCTCGGAAGCTGGAACCCTCCTCTGCCTCTAATGAAATTCAGCACCCCGATTTGTCATATCTGTGCAGTGTGCTGACAGGGTCTCGTGCCAGCCATCAGATATCATAAAGGCGAATCTTACACCTTCTGCAGTCTGCACCGAGTGTGAGGTACATAAGAGAGGCAGCCATAGCTTGAGTGATTTATGAGTCTTGTTAATTTTTGATTATCCTTGGCTGACTGTCCAGTCTGACAGCTGATGAGCAAGAAGGGATGCTACCACTACAAGGAGAATGATGTAGCTCTCCTTTTACTCTCCTAGCATCCATCAAACAAAACAATATATAACCTTGTTACAATGACCAATTAATTGATGTCAATTGCTAACATTCACTCCCACTATCTATCTATTGAGAGAATGTTCCTATTGTTTACAGTTAAAAAAAGAAAGTATTTATGATTTGTTTTAGTATTGTTTATTATGTCAAAATTAGCATTAAGTAGAGAGAAAGATTTGCAATTCATGATCTGTTTAGCAACATTCAAAATACTTCAATATACTTCTTTTATTAGCACTGTATAAACTCAGGGCAAGAGGAGTTTATTATGCATGGATCTAATAAGTCTGCATTTTATTAGATTGAAAATATTTCTATTTTTAAAATGTTATCCCCAAAACAGCTGCCAATTCAGAGAGTCCAATAAACCACACAGGGGGTCTAATACAGTCAATTTGATGCATAGGAAATTCAAGATTTGTTTTGTTCTTGTAGTACATCTTACATGACAAACAAAATCAAGCCCTGTGCACTGATGCTCCCAGCCTTAGATGACTTTACCACATGTTAGTGAGCTTAAGTTTAAGTGCAGACTTTGAACAGATAAAGGGTACCTGGTAATATGTCATCGAGTAGCAGTTCAAAACTCCTCAACCATGCAAAACATGGCTGCACAGTCATTAAAGTGCATAGTAAAAAAAAAAAAAAAAAAAAAAAAAAAACCGAGGGTTAAGCCAAAATGTTTTACCCATGCTTAATTACTTGTTGAACCTTCAAGAACAATTACTTCAGCATTTTTGCTTTTCATTATCTTTCTGAAAAAATACTTTCAATCACTTTTCTGAAACAAGTCAAAAACAATTCCTTCGCCATAAATACATTGCCAATTGTTAAAGGTAAAATGAAAGCTAATTATTCTGGAACCAGATTGATTAAAACAGAGGAGCCCTACAGACAATGCATAATTTCTAACTATGCATGAAATTAGGGGCTCCCATGATCAGAAGCTATAAAGATAACACAGGAACATCTTCTGCATAAAAAAAATTTTTTCACAGACAAAATTATGACAGGAATATAATAGACGATGGCTACCTTCCACCTGACAATATACGCAAACAAACAGGCACCGTTGCCAAATTACTGTACATCTGCCTACAGCTAAGATTTACTGATCCCATCAATTTATGTTCAGTTAAAACACTTTCTGAGTCTTTTCCTACTCTAAATAATCTGGGCAATCAACAGAAATATCTGGCCAATACATGTAATGTATAAATGGATACAGGCTATTCCAAGGACATGCAGATTTATGTACCATATGTACATTTCATTGTATATAAATTATACTAAGTAGTTCTCTGAGTGGCATTCTGTTTCAAAAGTTCAAAGATTGCAACTACATTTTCAAGTTCAGAGACCTATGTCTTCTTGGAACTCTTTATTTTTTGAATTTTATTGAATTTATTTTCTTAAATTGCAAAGCATTTGGAAAGGTATTTTTTTAAAGATCCCCTGCAAGTTTCGTTATGCAAATTTCATGCATTTCCTAAATAAAATGTTAGATTTGAAAGTTTTTAGTCTTCAGTGAACCCATTTACACCAATTAAGAACCAATTGCTCTCAACTGAAAAATATAATTCTAAAATCAGAATCAATGGCAACTCTCAAGTAGAACTGAGTCCTATTCATGACTTCAACTTAGGGATATTAATCCCTAGAGATGCATAAAAATGCTTCATTAAAGAAAATCTAATTTTACTGTAAAAGCTGGGGGAATTTCTTGCTCAAAATACACAGAGCCTGTCATCAATAACAAATTTATGTTAAGACTTTTACATGTATTCATGAACAATGGTTGCTGAAGCCTCTTCTTGGATACTGTCATATATAAATATTCCATTAAACAACTATTGCTGAAGAAAATAAACGTATGATCAACAATAGATAAAAAAAAAATGCAATTTATTTTTGCATAAAGTAATTCTTCGTACAAAAATATAGTTCTTAAACCAAATACTGAAAAGTACCGTACTCATGACTAGTTGAAATTACCCAGGTGGTCTAAGTTACACCACCCTATACCCTTGTAAATTGATGGTTTGACAAGTTTAAGTGACCTTGGTGTAAGATGATGAACTGAAGGAAGTTTACAACTCAAATCTAAAGAAACCAGAACCCCACTATACAAGATAAGCTTTGGCTGACTTGTGTTTTTTTTTTAGGTATAGTGCTAGATGACAGGATGTATAGTAATGTACTCCATGCCACATCTGTCCTTCAACATACAACACAAGGTCATTCTTGGCACAGAACCATAATTTGGCCTTGGTGACTTTCTAGCTTCTCTTAGACATAAATTTCCAATTCTTAACTTCAATGTTTTAAAGATTTTTCAACAAAACATTTATTTCTCTTCTTTATGATAGTTCTTTGACTTCCAGATCCTGAATACAGTGCTAATGACCATTTTACTAGGATTTGTAAATTTGACATGTAGTATGTTTATTTCATGTTAGCTTTTACATGCAACTCAACAAATATCACCCTTCCCTCTTATTTTCAGATCAATTAACCCTACCCCTTCTAAAAAGATAAAAGCAGCCACTATAGGCATCAGTCAAAAAACACATAAATTATTTAGGGAAAGTGTTAAAAAATTACAATATAAAAATCTCAAGCCAGGAAAAATCAGATGGCCATCAGGTTTTCACCGAGCCCTGCAGGGGGGGAGGGCAATATTATCAGCTATAGGGTCATGTGTTACTGGTATGGCCTGCTGTGGTGATAATGGCCCCAAGTGCAAAACAGAGAAAGGCAAAAAAACTGCACACCACCATATAACCCCCTAGCATAATCATATGGCTGATTAGGATGTAATCTGCTGATGTATCCTGTATAATGTATCTGCTAAAAATTATTTTGATATCAGAATTGTGCATCAAGGCAGGGTTCTTTGCCTGTCTGGCTCAGCAGAGCAGTCAAACAGTAGGGGATAACCAGTGTTGCTTTAACATATACTGCACCAGGCTGGATTTCAGTGGCTGAGCTTTTGCAATATGAAAGTGGGGTAATCTGCCATAGATAAGGCACCTCAAATACAGAACCTTTCCTTGTTTCTATTCCCTTAATTACTGCAAGTGCCACTTTTCTATTACTTTTCAGTACTGCACAACAGATAATTTGAATTACAACTGTGTGTTTGCTTAATTAAAAATGCCTCAGTTCAATTACAATTACCTCATCAATCACCTTCACTGACCCACATTCTTAAGTTCACCTGAACCATATTGGAGAAATTCCCTGGGTAGGGGTCTTATTGCTTTTTTACAGTTTCTTTTATTTCAGGTCCCAGTTAATGAAACAAATATGAGTTGCTGCCTTTGAGAATCAATACCTTCAAACATCCAATATATCCACAGACTTTGACTTGAGAGGGAGACCCCCTTCTAGGCAGGAATTATCAAAGACATTTTCAAAGGTAGCTTCTCTTTTTAGAGTGGACCCAGGTCTCAAATGATACATTTAAATTAGTAATGAATTTTCAACAAAGTACTTAAGTGGAACACTCCCGGAGTGAGATAGTCTACAGACAAAGATGCCATGTCCAATTACTGCCTAAAGAATCTTCCAAGAATAATTTAAGAGTCATGGTCAGCATCATTTAAGTCATCATTTATAATGCAACTATATGTATTCTGTTCTTTCATAAATGCACATAAAGTTAACATTTTTAAAGCACATTTTGCACTATTAAAATACACTGACCAATGAAAAATCATAAACAAATAAAACTGCAATGCATGCATCCAAAAAAAAACAAAACAAAACAAAACAAAACAAAAACAAACAAACAAACAAACAAAAAATAAAAAATAAATAAATAAATAAAAAAATAAACAAACTGTTGATCAACCCCAATAGCCAAGAATGTCTTAACAAATAGCTTGATTGGTACTTACTTCAGAAAATTTTGAAGGTTTCCATAGGGGACATATTCCATCACCAAAGCTATGGGTTCTGACAGAGTGCAGGCCCCTGACATGGACACAATATTTGGGTGAGAACCGATTCTTTTCATCAAGTTGATCTCAGCCAAAAGATCTTCTTTGTAGGATAAGGGTGCACTATCTGTAAAGTTCAACAATTAAATGTTTTGTGGGAAAAAAACCATCAAGTAAAAAATATACATCTTTATTTATTTCATACAGTTTTCTGAATCATGTTTTTCCTTGCATTCATACCATTTTACATGAGATATTGAAGAGTAAATATACATGTAATATTCTTTTTGAAAGACTATGTATTCATTTAAGCTCACATACATTCGAGTATAACCTAGCTTTCTTGTATTAAAGTTTTACTCCTTTAAGATAGTAAACATAAAAATGACTAAATTGTAAACGTGACAATAACTATCAAAATCAAACTCTTGTGATAAGATTTTCTTATCTTTGAACAAGGAAAAAAAAAGATAGGAACAAATGCATTGAGGCACATCTTCCAGGTTACTAGTTCACAATCATCATTTTGTAATCTTCCACTGGATCATTTAGACTGTGTTGTATGTCATTTATTTAAAAATTATCTGTATATCCCTATCTTATTTCTACCACTCGTACACCTGTTTCCTCAAATGATTTAAAACTACTGTTAATGTAAAAAAAAAAAAAAAAAAGAAAAAAGAAAAGAAAAAAGCAACTAAACAGAGGATTTTTTTTTCCATGGGCAGAGAAATTTTTATCTATTTGTCCCTAGTTGTTATTAGGTCATATTTTTACCCATTTACTGCCTTGCTTCAAAACTTGCAAAAAGTTTATGGATTTCAATGACATTTTAGATAAAGGTGTATTATAAGTAGCTGAACAAATAAGACCTTTTGAGTCTTATCTGAAAATGCAAGTTACTTTAATATTGCTTGTTTTTAATATACTAGAGAATCATTTTAATTCATTGGGGTCGGGTCAATGTTCATGGACAACTCACTTTAACTGGTTCATGGGGATGTGAACAGTGATTTTGTGGATAACTTATACATATATATATATATATATATATACAGAAGATTCTATGGAGACACTGACAAAGTTATTGTTCGCGGGGATGTAAAGCGTGACCCACGAAATCTACCAATATTGGTTCCTACCAGAAATTTTATATACAAAGGAAACATAAAAATTGATTCTGAGCTAATTCTATATGGTGACCAGCCTCACCTCTCACTAATTTGATGGCTACTCTTTGGTTCTCATAGTAACCAGTTACCACTTTCCCAAATGCCCCCTGGCCAATAGGACTGCTGAATTTGAGGAGGCGAGGATCCAACTCCCACTCATCGCTAATCACCAGTAACTGATTAGAATAATCTACCTTACCTGTAAAATAAAGAAAAAGTACAGAAAAAAAAACACCTTGTGTATTTGTATCATTTAATTGTTAACTTGTGTATTCTAAATGATATTGCTTTTGATCGGCATTAGGCTGTTTGATGCACTTCATTATATAAAAGTATCCTTGATAACTTGTATTATAAGTCATCATTAGGATAATTAGTTTTCCATGGAAATACTAAAAAACAAATTTTCTCTATATTGTCCCTGTTTTAAACTTATAGCCAATAAATTTTATATCTGAATTTGAAAGTCAATCATGGGAGTTATATATATATCATTCCTATTCCTGTTCAACAAATCATCATGAAATTTAGTGTATTACTATGTTATATAATTTTCTTATTGAAAGTTATTAAACACACTGATGGAAATTGATGATGAAACAGAGTTTCTCAAGCTTTCCCGACTAACTCAACTGATGACCATTATTTTCTTACACCATTAATGTGGGATTTACTTAAATATTGCTGCCGACTTTTTTTAAACTATACTCAATTAAGATCTGAAAACTTGGTGTGTTTTTCAATGTTGTTCAAGCAGACTTGCGTAAATGAAAACCCTTGTTTGTGCTTCTTGAATAATCATTTGTGGGTATTTAGTGATTAAGGAAGAAAGTGAGGAAACTAATGAGAATGTGCCAGGCTTACTCCAATTTTTTCCCCATGTTTTCAAACAAACAATTGTGAGAAAGACATAATAATTTGCAATGCTCAGTGTCTAATATGTTTCTAACAAGCAAAAATAACTACCCATTGATTTCGACAATTATAATTGCTCAAAAACATAATTTTAAAGAAATTTTGAAAACACCCAGTTAATTTTTTTCCTAAAGATATTTCAAAATCAGTATCATTTTTTTCCCTAAAATAAAAAAAATATATTAAGTTGAAAAAAAAAAAGAAGAAAAAAACCCCCACAGAAGTCAAAGTTTTAAAAGATTCTGCTATAATTATCACATAATAAAAGAAAGTTCTTTTTGTAGAAAGAACACTAAAATCAACATGCTTCTAGGTGACTTAGGTCACCTTTATCAGTCGCTGCCAAAATCAAAGGGAGAAAACTGAAGCGAGAACTTCCTCTGCTCTCCAGGATCCACCAAATTCAAGACAATTAAATTCGTGTAAAATTACACGAGCAGGAAAAGGAACTGGAGAGCCAAAGCACCTGAATTCTGTTAATAAGGCCCTGTGCCAAAAACATGGTTGGATGAGAAACGTGATTTGTATCCTCTTTATGAAGGCACAAGATTAATTTCTGTAATACTTTCTTGCTGAAATCAAAACTTTGATCTTAAGGTGGTGAGACACGATTTTTAAGCTCCTATCCATCAAGAGTCTGTCTGGTTAGAATATCCCCTAAAACTTTTAACCTTTGAATTATTACTTTTTAGGATACAGGTTGGGAAGATTTATATACATTTATATGAAAAAAACAAACAAACAAATCACCAGTAACCTAATTCTTGTGCATAATGCACTGACCCCTTCCAAACAGTGTGAGCAAAATTAATTACATTGAGCTGCGTGAATAAAAAACGAGAAAAATAATGCCTAAGACTTAGTAATGAATTCACTTATATACACTTTCAAAGCTTTCTCATTAAGAATATTCAAAAGACCACAAAAAAAAAAAGGAAGAAAAAAAAAGAAGAACAAATAATACCTAGAGAAAAAAACTTGTTAGGAAATCTGTTGCCCCACACAAACAATGGATGTATGGCAAAAAAATGAAAATTCCTTCAACAGAATCTGAGCTCAAATTGCCACAATATATGATCTAACCAACAGGGTTTGGCCATGCTTAGATGCTTGAAGTGTAGCATCTTTTGTAACAGAATGATCACAATCCCAGAACAAGAGGACTTCAATTACAACAAAGGAATCTCTAATTTTTTTCTCTCAACTGAGAAAAATATTAAGACGGGCAACACAGAAAGCACCTGATCCTTTCCTCCAGAAATAGACAGTTCCTGTTTTCCTGACTGCAGACTGTCACAGATATAGAAAATCAAGTAGAAGTTAATCTAGATGTGTGATGAAGTGTTGACTTTTCAAGTTTTATAAAAGAAAATGTCATTTTTTTTCTTTGTGTCTTACTTTTAATTGCCAGGATTCTTATTTTTCTTGCCTTTTTCTTTTCTCTAATGAAATTTATGATCTTCAAAGAATTATATGCCTTGTCTGAATCTTTGTCGATAATATTTTCTGTAACTTTCACCTATTCCATTTGTGTTTTGAAATGATTTCATAATATCTTCTCATCTGCAAAAACTTTGTTCCTTGGTACAAATGTTCATAAAAAAATCTCTTAAAACTCGGATGAAATATGAATTTCAAAGTAAAGTAGGGCACATATAAATCCAACAATTAGGATCAACCATCAATATCCCTAATTAATAGCTCTAGAAAATTAAAATTCATCATCTAATTTACATAGAAAGAAAATATCGAAGTTCAACAGCAAACTCATCAATTGCAGATGAGGAAACCTAGTTCATCTTCCGTAGCATGTCTGCAGTGTAAACATAAATAACCATTCTTACATACATTGAATATTTCTGAGATACAGGAAAGCATGCGATGAAGTTTGATGAATTCTTCTTTAGACGATACTTCTTATCTTGTTTACTTCTCAAAGTGTGAACTTTGAAGTCAGTTTAAGAAAATAAGTGTCAGAACTCGGTAAATGCCACATTTGTAAAAGTAAAAATCATTTTTACACACAATGTATTTCTGTAATTATTGAGATGAAGCATGTTTTATATGAATATGATTAATTATACATGTATAATTGACTTGATCCAATTTTCATATTTCATCAATTTCTGATAACCCATGAATGTTGAAATATATCAAATATTACATAATTAACCTATTTGATATCAAAATTTCTACTTTCCGTAGCAGTGTTAATTTTGTTAACCATTACAATGCAAGTTCAAAAAGTTATACATATACCAAACTCATTAGTATGGTTAGTTTACAATGGTTACTTCTAAGGTTTAAATAATTTTGTAGTTTTTATTTCTTTAAAAAACTAGAAATATGTCCATAGGACATGAATGCCCCGCCAAGGGTATATTAGTAATGCAACATTTTAACACAAATTGAGAAAAGTGAGGTCAAGGTCAAAGGAAAGGTCAAGGTCAAAAAATATTGCTGCAGTTGAATAGCTTACATCAGTATGTATCAGCATATGACGTTTGATTCAGAAACTAATTTAAGAAAAGTGAGGTCAAGATCAAAGGAAAGGTCAAGATCAAAAAATGTTGATGTAGTTGAAAAGGTTACATCAGTATGTATTAGCATATGAAGTTTGATGAAAATATTATGAATGGTTTCTTTAAAACTTAGCTAAACACTAATTTAAGAAAAGTGAGGTCAAGGTCAAAGGAAAGGTCAAGGTCAAAAAATATTGATGCAGTTGAATAGCTCTCATCAGTATGTATCAGCATATGAAGTTTGACACTAATTTAAGAAAAGTGAGGTCAAGGTCAAAGGAAAGGTCAAGGTCAAAAAATGTTGATGCAGTTGAAAAGGTTACATCAGTATGTATTAGCATATGAAGTTTGATGAAAATATTATGAATGGTTTCTTTAAAACTGAGCTAAACACTAATTTAAGAAAAGTGAGGTCAAGGTCAAAGGAAAGGTCAAGGTCAAAAAATATTGATGCAGTTGAATAGCTCTCATCAGTATGTATCAGCATATGAAGTTTGACACTAATTTAAGAAAAGTGAGGTCAAGGTCAAGGGAAAGGTCAAGGTCAAAAAATGTTGATGCAGTTGAATAGCTCTCATCAGTATGTATCAGCATATGAAGTTTGTTAAAAATATCTTGAATGGTTTCATTAAAACAGAGCTAAACATTAATTTAAGAAAAGTGAGGTCAAGGTCAAAATAAAGGTCAAGGTCAAAAAAATGTTGATGCAATTGAATAGCTTACATCAGTATGTATCAACATATGAAGTTTGATTACACTATCTTGAATGGTATCTTTAAAACTGAGCTAAACACTAATTTAAGAAAAGTGAGGTCAAGGTCAAAGGAAAGGTCAAGGTCAAAAAATGTTGATGCAGTTGCATAGCCCTCATCAATATCTATCAGCATATGAAGTTTGATAAAAATATCTTGGATAGTTTCTTTGAAACTGAGCTTTGAACAGAGCTAAACGCAAAGTGTGACGGAAGGACAGACGGAAGGACAGAAGGACGGAAGGACGGAAGGACGGAAGACGGACATGACAAACACTATATGCCCCGGCCATATTCATGGCGGGGCATAAAAAAAGAAGATAAGTATCTTTTATACATATATCTATATGAGGGGTGATCAAAAAGTTTGCAAACTATCTCTATATTTACAAAAACACAATTCAGATCAAAATGAAATTTGGCATACACATAGTCATAAACATGTTCTATAGATAGCAGATGTTACGTTATGTTTGCTCCATGTTTGTGATGTCACATTGTGAAAATGACATCAATATGTAGATGACTTGTGACAAACAAGAGGCCCAAGGGCCTTAACGGTCACCTGAGTATAATACAACAATTTAGAAGTTAAATACACTGATAGATGAAGCTTTGTTGCCCTAAAACAAGAGAAGTAGGAAGATCAGGATCAACAAAATAATTAGTCTAGTATTCAGTATCAACTCATAAATTAAGTTCTAATCTGTCCCCCACTTAACACTATCACCATGCAGACGATTAACAAACTATTAGTGCTTCTGTACTATTTTTAAACCCATATTAAGACCTCTAGCATTGACCTCTCTTATGGTCTTTGAAGAACTTTTAATAAGATAAGTTATTTTTGTCTCATTTTTATTTATCTATTACTTACAGGTCTACCTGATTATTAAAACTAAGAAAGTACTTTTTGAATTATAGTATTATACGATAAACATTCTTGCATAATTATCTTATTCTATTAACCTTTCAAATACATTATTTGCAGTGATTAATTATCAAAGGTGAATGGAAAAGGGGAATAACTTCTCTCAGTAGAATACAAATTAATAGAGCCCTGCCCAGGACCAGAATGCTTAGACGAATGGTCCAGATGTTCAAAAATTTGGTAGAAATATGCTTACTTATATCATTTAAACTTTTACTCAGTTTGCTTCTGATATGCCCAGAAGCAGAGAAGAATTTCACAGGTACAATGCATTTTCACTACAGATTCAACAAAGCCTTACCCTAACACCAGAACCCAAGACCAAGGGTCAAGAAATTTACAAATTTGGAAGAGTTACCCTCATCATTATAACTATGGACTTCAAAGAATTAACACTTTTCCACTATATTATCAAAAGCCTCCCCCCCCCTCGTTATGCCAGAACCCCTGACCCTAGGATCACAAGATTTAAAAATTCTGTTCGAAGCTCCCATTTTCATCATAGCTAAGCAATTTATTTATCAGCTCAACACTAAGGAGCAGACAGGATTAATTAATGATTAATTAACAGAATTAATGCTTTTTCACAAGATAATCAAAAGAGCCCCCCCCCCCCTCTCCTCAAGAACCCCAAAAACTGAAGTCATATATTTAAAAATTTTGGAAGAGGCATCCTTGCCTATCATAATCATGCACTTAGTTTGTTTAAATAATCTCCAGTAGTAGAGAAGAAGATTTTCAAAGAATCAATGCATTTTCACTATATAATCAATAGAGCCCCGCCCTAACACCAGAACCCCTGACCCTGCGGCCATGAAATTAACTATTTTTGAAAAGGCATCCTTATGCATCATAACCATGCACTTAGTTTGTTTAAATAATCTCCAGTAGTAGAGAAGAAGATTTTCAAAGAATCAATGCATTTTCACTATATAATCAATAGAGCCCTGTCCTAACACCAGAACCCCTGACCCTGGGGCCATGAAATTCACAATTTTTGAAAAGGCATCCTTATGCATCATAACCATGCACTTAGTTTGTTTAAATAATCTCCAGTAGCAGAGAAGAAGATTTTCAAAGAATTAATGCATTTTCACTATATAATCAATAGAGCCCCGTCCTAACACCAGAACCCCTGACCCTGGGGCCATGAAATTCACAATTTTTAAAAAGGCATCCTTATGCATCATAACCATGCACTTAGTTTGTTTAAATAATACCCAGGAGCAGAGAAGAAGATTTTCAAAGAATTAATGCATTTTCACTATATAATCAATAGAGCCCCGCCCTAACACCAGAACCCCTGACCCTGGGGCCACGAAATTCACAATTTTTAAAAAGGCATCCTTATGCATCATAACCATGCACTTAGTTTGTTTAAATAATACCCAGGAGCAGAGAAGAAGATTTTCAAAGAATTAATGCATTTTCACTATATAGTCGATAGAGCCCCGCCCTAACACCAGAACCCCTGACCCTGGGGCCATGAATTTCACAATTTTAAAAGAGGTACTCTTGCTCATCATAACTATGTACTTAGTTACTTTATTAAATATCCAGGAGCAGAGAAGAAGATTTTCAAAGAATTAATGCATTTTCACTATATAATCAATAGAGCCCCACCCTAACACCAGAACCCCTGACCCTGGAGCCATGAAATTCACAATTTTTGAAAAGGCACTTTTGCTCATCATAACTATGTACTTAGTTACTTTATTTAATAGTCAAGAGCAGAGAAGAAGATTTTCAAAGAATTAATGCATTTTCACTATATAATCAAAAGATCCCTGCCCTAACACCAGAACCCCTGACCCTGGGGCCATGAAATTCACAATTTTGGAAGAGGCACTCTTGCTCTTTATAACTATGTACTTAGTTACTTTATTTAATAGTCAAGAGCAGAGAAGAAGATTTTCAAAGAAATAATGCACTTTCACTATATGATCTATATAGCCCCACCCTGGGGCCAGAACCCCTGACCCTGGGGCCATGAATTTCACAATTTTGGTAGAGGGCTCAATGCTTATTACAATGATGCCAACAGTTTGACTGCTTAATGTCCAGGAGAAAAGAAGAAGATTTTTAAAGATTGCATTATTTTTGGTGGTTTTAGCCCCATCCCTCAGGTCCCAGGGGGGTAGGGACCATGAAATTCACAAATTTTGTTTCCCTTTACACATAGATGCCATATGCTAAAATTGGCTGAAATTGGTTCAGCGGTTTCAGAGAAGAAGCTGAAAATGTTCAAATGTTAACACACGACGGACGACGCACGACGACGGACGAAAACAGATAGCAATAGGTCACCTGAGTGACTCAGGTGACCTAAAAATGGTTGACTCAGTCTGACTCGAGCAATGAATGGCTTTAAAGTTTAATGAATATCTTGGAAATTCCTTTGCAGTAGTGTATAAAAATTTGTAGAAGGTTTATGAGGACAAAAGACTTGCCAAAAGTTCAATCATTAATTGAAGGAAGGGAGATGGTTAAAAATGACGTTTGTTCTAGTGCCCAATGAAAGTAAGCTGGGGAATAGATATGTCCTAAGTTGAGCAATTTGTCATGAAAGATCACCAAGTTATAGTTAGAGAAATAGTTGAATATCTTAACAATAATATAATTATTAAATCCCTAAAATATCATTTACATTAGACTTTAAACATATGAGATATGATAAAAACAAGGCGCACATACTTTATCCACAATGGCTAAAGAACGCATCCAAGACAAAGGAGTCGGGTTGTGATGGTTACCATGCTCATTCTGGGAAAAGATATCCTTATCCAACCATCCTATTGCCGAGATTTGGCCATTTGTGACAAATGGACTATTCTTGTTATAAAAAATAACTTGGATGGTAAGAAATATGAGACTCGGAAAAATCTTTTAACTTCTGTGAACAGAACGCTACGGAGCATGTCACATGACCTCCTGGATCACGTGATTCGCGCATGGGCAGAACGGAGGCAGATGTGCATTAAATCGGAAAGGACTTATTTAAAAAATAATAAACACCAAAACCTAATTTTATTTCTTTTATGGAAGTAATTCAATTAGTTCACGAACTTTTTGATCACCCCTCATATTTCATAGTGAATTGATTTAAACTCCTTTCAGAAACCTATTGAAGTAAAAGAGATTGCATAAAACAATCTTTTCAAGAGAATGCATAAAACAACCTTTTCCACCCCCCACCCCCTTCCACTTTCTTTTTTCTAATTTCCTACTCATACTAGTCTTTTTTGCCAATTACAGTATGTGACAAGTTGGCAATGACAAAAAAATATCAAAACATTAATGAGAAAATGGTTCTTACATCCCACGTTGGACTTGTAGCTGTTGCTCTTGGCGACAGTTGACTTGGTGATTATAATGTCTTTGAAGCTATGGCGTTTCTTGTACACAAAGAGCATGATGAGTCCAAGTAGAGTAATACTGGCTATCATCGCAATCCCAATGATCACCTTATCCAGAACCCCCTGCATTTTGGATTGCTTGACTGTTGGTTGATCTGCAAAATGTAGAACAGAATTTTCCTCTTTGACACAAAGAATGAAAAAATGGTAATACATGTACATCATATAAATGTAGTACATAATAATCAATTAAGCACTGAATTTAAATTTTGGACTTTCATATTGTCATAACAAGGAAGGCTTTGCAGATAAACTGAATGACATGCATTAGCGCATTATGAAACTTTGTCTACACATGACATGAGGAACGTCCAAAACTTAGCAAAATATTTTTTTTAAAACTACAGGGAATGAAAATCACTTTCTTTGTAAGTGTGACTGTAAGTGTAATTTTTTTTCTAAGCATATTCTTTATAACTGTGCGTGACTGTACCTCTTCTCATCCCCGTTCTGGGAGTTGGAGGCATGGACTTGTACCACGTAGTGTTAAAGATCAAACGTTCACTCTCCTGGTTGTTTCCTATGAAGGAGCCCTCATTGTTATCTTTGAAAACAGGTACCACCTAAAATTAAAAATAAACATTGAAATCATAACAAAGATTTCCTCAATATCTTTGTAGTTCTTACTAGTAAGATTTCATTTTTCATAAACAGACTAGAAGTACTGAGGATCAGCTCACAAAATAATAACCCCGTAACCCCCTCCCCCCTTCCCCAACCATCACCACTGCAATTTTTAATTTGCTGTTGGTAGCAATTATGTTGCAAAACGCATGACATACCACATCCTTCTGACCTTGTTTAAATGACCTTGAGTTCAAGTCAAGACCAGTCATAAGCCATTTTTTCCTCACTATTGGCTTCCAATGTTTGTCCTTTGCAAAATCAAATGAAAATAAGTAAATACATACCTGAACTTCATATTCCTTATTGGGGTCTAAGGACATCACATAATAGCTCTGGTTGGTGACTGTGTGTTTGTAGCTTGAGTCCAGCTTATAGGAGTCTGTATCTACAAGTTTCCAGGCTACCGAGTAACCTCGTATGTATGATGTATTGTACGGCACTGTCCAGGAGACGTTTGCTGTCACACGATCGGTATCAATATCATATGTCATGGATACAATGTTTAGGTACCAAACCAAAGGGTCTGAAAAAGAAAGCCATATTTATTTTAAAAATTCTTCTTTTTTAACTAACTACATAAGCGAAGAGGTTTTAATAGAAAGTGTCCAAGAAAACTTACAGTAACAGATCAAACTGTTACTTTGTTGGGAAAAGGAAGGAGAGGTGTTATTGCAAATGTTATTTTTACATTAAAAAATTCATTTTGTTGTGGTGGGATAATCTGCAGTTGACATTACTACCCTATATATACTATGGCATGTGCATGTGTAAATTAAAGAAACTGCATTAATTGTCTTGGGATTTGATCTATGAATTAAAAAAAAAAAACAGTGTGTAAGACCAGAAAAAGCAATTTAAACTCTGTACCACTTATATTAATTCTGATGTTCAATAAATGTAACTGGGTTAAAATCTTCTATTCTTTTTTTTTTTAATCTTCACTTCTGGCCTAACAACAGTGTAATCAGTAACATCACTGAATAAGTTCCAGTAGATATCTTTAACTGAGAACAATGTCAGGTGTTTGGTCATGCATTGTACTTTAAAAGTAGGAAAAAACTCCCTTTCTAAGTGAGAATCTAATTCATGATTGTATGTAAAGAGCAATATCAGATAAAACAATGCGGGGAGGAAGTGCAGTGTAAGTATACGGGAAGTCTACGTGAGTGGATTTCATGATGGTCTCTACGTCATCTGAGTTCAGTGGAACCAGGGTCTAAAGATGGAGAACGCACTCTTTAAGGAGGCAACAGATATATACACTTATCATATCAAGACAGGATGCAACCAGGGGCTACTGGGTTTGAAAATCTTTAAGTTCACTAATCCTTAATCCTATGCATTTATTTTTCTAATCCAACATGCAAGACCGTCATAAACAAAAAAAGATGACATGCAATAATATACGCTGTCAAGGAATTGTGGGACTCATTTCCACCGGACTCGTGGAGACAAAATAGTTAATAATAGATAACATAGTCCGATAATGCAGCTACAGGGGGGACCTAAACTCTATGTCTGATTGTGTTTATTTACAATTCTAATATTAGCAATGCCTTGAGATTCACAAAGTTACAGTCTTTATTCAGAATTATTGTTTAGCATGCAATACAGCGATTTTGATGCCCTAAATGCCGTCTGAAACCTGCTACGTCATTTAAATGTATTCTGTTGATTCTTTTCTTGAAGAAAATTCCTTGGTATCAGATAAGAGAAATGAATTCCCTTTCAACTGCTTAGATAGGGTTTAGTTATTTATGAACATACATTCTTATTCTTTCCTTTACCTAAGCTTCAACCATGTACGTTATTATCTTCAAAACAGAAGCCTGCTTTACAATATTAAAAATAATGGAAGGAAAAAAAGATTTTGCAGACGACGTTAATCTGCAGGGAAGGGGTACATCATTATAAAAACAATATACAGTACCACTGACGTAATGCTATTTCAGAAGGTGCCAAAAATTGATGGTGATCTCAGTATTATTTTCTTTCCTCAGTGGGTGTTAGATTTTTATATCACATATTCTTTAGGCATGAGATTGTTTAGAATCAAACATCAGAGATACTGTCGACAATTCTTATAAGAAGGGGGGAAAAGGTGGCATTACTAAAATCATAGCAATACCCCTTAGATGAAGCATCGTTTCTTGTCTTACATCCACATACAAAATCCTCCTCATTTGCGATCTAGTGATTGATGCCGAGGAAACTTAACCGAGTTTTTTAATTATTAATGTTGATTTTTCTTGCTGAGCTTTATTTGTTTTTTATCGCCTCTGTACGTAATACAGTAATACTGACAATGTGTATACATCATTTCTAATAGTGTACTTGAATAACTTTCACATACCAGTTACTTCCTCCCTCAAGATTTGTCTTGTATATGAGATATTTTGACTGATTTATGGGTTTTATGATAGATCAATACCGCCTTCAATGCATGTGTGTTCTCTTTGTCCTCTCTTTGAAATATTACATACATACACACTGTACATAAGGAAGGAAAAAAATTGATTACCTCCCTTGAAAAAAAAAGGGCAATTTCAATTTCTTAACTTAGTATGACAATATCTTTGGCATAATGAAATAGTGCATATACAAATATAGATAATGTACATACCCAAACCTCAGATTAAGAGTTTAATTTTTCTTAGAACATCAGAATTATCTCAAATTTATTTTCCATTTCATATTTAATTTATACTGATTTAGCAACAATTGTTCCTTTCAAAGATGTTCAGGAATTCGAAGGTATTATATGTTATTTCAATACCTATATAAAATCTTCAAAAGCTTAATTAGGATAACTTTACATTTTTATAAAAAAAATTGATAAAAAAGTTGCCAAATTTTAAAATAAAAAAGTTCTGTACAATATGAGAACAAATCTTTGAATGTGCCACACAGCATTGATGCAAGAAAGCTGCAGGAGATAGGGGAATTTATTAGACACAGGTACATGTACTTGATTTGGTCTGATCTTTTTTCGAGATGAAGAAAACCTCTCCCATCCATTACTCCCTCACTTCCTCAGATTTGAATCAAACATGGAAAACATCTTTAAGATCTCCAAGAAACAAAATTGTTTGTTTTGATTTAAAACGAAAGCTGCATTAAGCAATTTACCCAAAGATCCAAACCCCTCCCTTGGAATTAGTGAAAATTAGGGATAAACGGGAATTTATCTGAATCTCTATTGAGGGGTACAAGAACAAGGTGCTAGATTTTGGCTGGATTTCGAAGGTTAGCCCCGTGACTTTGTCTTATCTTCACAGGCGATAAAGCAAAGGGATTCAAAAAAATATCCTGTTATGAACTGCTCTCAGTAATTACAGTGCAGAGTGAGCTGTTCTACACTTGGAGCTTTATCTGATGCCTCAGCTTCCTATGTGGTGATAAGGCATGTAGTCTTATAGAAAATAATTAAACTTTTAACAGGTCAAACAAATTACCACGGTCTGCACTTTAGTGACTTATAGCTGACACCTATAATGGAAAATGGAGAGAGAGAGAGAGAGAAAGAGAGAGAATCAAACCCAAACAAAATTCTTAAATGACATTGGGAGAATTAAAACAAAATATTCATGGTACTTGCTAGATCTAATCAGTATAAAGCCTTTAAACTGTTAAACACAAAAATTCTGTAAATATTAACTTTTCTTCTATTCTGAGTAAATTACCTTCCATGGATTCAACATGAAAAACTATGTATAACTCAAAATTTGCTACAATACAATTTAACAATTTTTTTTAAAATGACTTCCCGTAGGTAATTCAAGAGTTTCTACAAATTATGAAAAGCTGAAAACTTGCAAGGTAAGTCTTTGTCAGTAGTAATATACCTTCTTCATCATCCACAGTGTCCGTATTTGTGCTCCAACTACTACCAGCCTTATTTGGGTCCGTAACGGCAGATCCTTGATTGACAATGTAGTTATGGTTACATTTTGTGTACGTTTTTGTGTCCACTTCTTCACAGAGCTCCGTCTTAAAATTCACTTCTCCGTACCACCTTTTCTTGGTTTTCCGACTTGCTAGGCTTAGTTCGACGACAACATTGTACAGTGAGTTATACATCAGAGATTTGATGACATAAGAGGGCTGAAAAAAAAAGACAGAATAAATCTTACGGTAAAAACGATATTAACATAAAATGGCACAGCTTGAAACAATGTCAAATAAATCATTCGGAATTGAGGATTGAATTATCAGGGGAAAATTTCTTTTTATTCATTAAAATTCTTAAGAATAAGAAATTTTAGTTAAGAGTCAATGCAGATGTTTTGAATGGGATGACAAATTAGTAGACCTTGTGAAGAATTCTTTGCATAAATGTAGATCAAACTTAATCATAACTCCCTGTAACCCTAGCTGTTTTATAGCTAGTTTATTACAATTTACACATTGAACAGTATTCTTTTTGTTTATCCCAACCTGCCAGAACTATATTTTTTAACACAAAATGTTCCTTCTTTTTAACAATATATTTTTTGGCATCCCCCCCAATTAGATACCTCTTTGTCCTTGGAATAAAACACTGTGTGAGAGTAATGGTCAGCTGGTTGATCGCAAGGTGGGGAATAATCCCAAACCTGACAATTCTCCATAAACCAGGTCACTGTGTAAGCATCCCCCTCCCCAAGAGGGATGGGAGGGTTGGACCACTGAACAAGAGCGGACAGAGTTGTATCCAGGGGGTCCTCGGTAATGGTGTAGTTAACCTGGATGGGCGTGTTGACAGAGGATCCACGGTTTGTACTGGCAATTAAGGAACCTGATGGAGGGTACACCACCTCTACATAAGAAAAAATTTTTTTTTGTTCATTATCAATTGCAACTCAATATTGCCCATATTTGTGATGAGATAAATATATTCTAGTTTGTATTGACTTATGATTTCAATTTTAGTCTCCTTCCACTAATACAATTCTTGATGCTGTATCAAACAAAAGAAAAACCCTTCAAGTAATTAATTCAATTTCAAACGAAGATACATTAAAACTTGATTTAAGTGAACTACCACATCCAAATGCTTCATTACTATCTGTAATTTGTTATATCCAGAAACATTAATTTGCTTTGTAACTTAACATGATTTACCCTAACAAGGAGTTCATAATAAGCATGTGTTTCACTGTATATACAGTCAGACTTCTCTTGACCTCAATTGGACTGACAAAAAACCCCTCAATATATTTGAGGATTTGAGATATTGAGGTAAAACTACACAGAGAGAAGGTAATTGGAACTTCAAACTCACTACGACATATCTATGGTATTCAGTTTATGGAAGTCAGAGATACCTAAGTTCAACTGTATATAACACTTGCATATTTAGTTTAGGGGGGTGCAGCCCCCCCCCCCCCCCCCCCTTCCCCTTTTGTTATCAAAAATATACATATTAAGATTGAGAAATCATTTTTGTTGCTGTTAGATATCATTTTTGTTGCTGTTAGATATTGCATTAATTATTTGTCCCCAGACTCTTAATCTGTTTGGCCCCTTTTTAAAAAATCCTGGATCCGCCACTGTATAAATTGAGGATTTATGATTATAATGATTGAGGATTGGGTTACGATTATAATGATTATAATGATTAATGACTGATAACAATGTCTTTATTGATGAGAACCTGTGATAAGCTTGTCGTTCTCCTGAAAATGGACATCCGTGGCCGTTCCATTCTCAGTAACGGCTACCAGCCAGAACTCAGTACTATGGAGCAGAATCTCCCTCTTCAACACCACATTCCTAGATGCTGTCTGGAAAGACAAAATATCACATTTAACATTAGCTGTCTTGAAAGACAAAATATTACATTTAACACCAGCTGTATGGAAAAACTGAAAATTACATTTAACACCATCATCTGCAAAAGAGAACAATGAAAAATCTTCAAGTGCATATAGGTAATCTTTTAATATGTTCATATAGCAGTCGGGTTGAAAAAAACACACATTTGGCTAACTTTCAAGTGGTATAATTTAAAGAGATAGCAAAGAGAATCAAACCATTTATTTCCATAAAAACAAGCACTCCAGGTTAAAGACAACAAATTTGATATAAATAATAGGCTGGTAGATTTTCCTCAGCACATCTTTGCATAAATCTTTAGTGTACTTTGATTTGGAAAGGAGCAAATCAACATAAAAATTTTTAAAGACCAATGGATTACACTATCAGTAGAATATGGTATATTGGTTTTCTACTAAAGTGAATCCATCAAATTGTTATTGACCATGCACTTGAAAAAAAAAAAGGCATACAAAATATATTATTTCTCTTTGTTTTATATTTATGACATAAAACTCTTATGAGTCTCCATCAGATATGCTTTGATAAGACTGGGCATAATCAAATTACTGGAGAAATATATCCCATTATGACCAAAGATGAATTATATGGCTCCAACAATGAATTGACAACAATCTTAGAGAAAGACAATGACGTACCAGTAAATGTAGCACATTAAACGGAGCAGATAAATATGCTTTAAAAAAAGATTATTCACAAAATTTTAAAAAAAATTCAAAACAATATTTTTAGATAAGATAAAAAAAAAAATCACCATCTATCTATATGTTAAACTTAATTTGCACCATATATAATCTATCACATTAAAAAAAAAAAAAAAAAAAAAAACTTCACTGCTTAAAAAACACTGATATCACCTGTTTCTTTACATTTTTAAGAGAGAATAGAGGGATCTAAGAAAAAAATTGAGGAAAGTTTTATCGATTATATTCTGCATATAAAAACAGCTAGTAGTGAAAAATTAGCCAAGAGGAAACGAGCATTGAAGCTAAGGCTGGTTCTCTTCTAAAGCTCAGGACCGCAAGGTGTCTGCACATCAAATGAAGCAGGTAATTTTTCAGAACAGAAAAAAGAAAATCTTCGTCCATCAGCAGGGCGTAATGAGGTGTGATTCGGCACTCTTCTGTGACAAATCCTCTCCTTACACGTGTTTTAGGTATCAACACCAGCAAATTCCCAGTTCTACCTCTTGTTCTTCAGTTTAAGTCTCAATGAACTAACAATCCTTAAATCATAATGACTCCGTTTTTATTTTCTTTCATGTCGAGCTGCACAGACAGAACTTGGAACAAAAATATCATATTATGACAGCACCGATTGAAGAAACAACTGTTTCATGTGGCGTAGATTTGTACATGTAAACCTGTATCACTGAAGTCAGAAATGATCTGTGCCAAAATAACTTTACCAAATTCATTCAGTCATCAAGTTTACAAAAACAACATCATAAACATTAATTTGTATAAGAACTACATTAAAACACATCTATTTTCATCCCAAATGTCACTCATGAATTCTGAGAGAAAGTATACTGCATGCTCTTCAAATCGTATTTCATACAAAGAATATGGTGCATATCTTAGAGATTCATATTTTGTATTGTATAAAATTATAATATATGGTAAAAGTTGGTCCTTAATTTTGATTTTCCAAAACACATTTTAGCTGTGTTTCATTAAGTATTTAGATATTATTTTTCCTATCTTGTACATACTGTAAAATCACATGGGGATTTGATTTCGTTAATAAAGAATTTTTTATTAGTTACACATATACATATATGAAATTTTACATTTCATGGTGGGTATAAAATTTGTAAATTTGTGGGTCTCTCCAAACTTTGAAAACAACAAAAATTAAACCTCCATGAAAATTGCTGATTTCATAGTATGCTGTGTATTTAAAAAAAAATAGTTTGCCATCTCACTAAAAAAAAAACCATTTTTGATTCTATGCTTTTAAAGTTTGAGTTAAATTTATTGAAAATGAAAATAAATAAAATAAAATGGAGAAGAATCATATTGCCAGTAGTTACACATATAAAAATAAATAAATAAATGGAATACATAAAAGATGTAATGAAAAGAAGGTTTTGTTTATATGCACTGTACTTCACTTTCTCAAAACAACATAAAAAGGACAGCATGATGGCCATGACATGCATCTTTTAGTAATTATATAAAAACCAATATAGATCGATATCGTATGATCTTTTTTTTTTTTAATTCTTCTCAAGTAACAACTCTTAGGCAGTAATGTTGTCAAACAATTGATATACAGACACATAACCAGTGTGGAGTTCTACATTTCGGAACTGGGTCACATTTCTCAGGGAACATTATTACGATTGTTTTGCACTTTTCCCTCTTACATAGTATTATTAGAGAGGAATCTTATTGTAAGCCATCTTCCCAGACAATTTATTTTGGGTATAGAACTTGCTGTACAAATTATTTTGTGCCCATGTAAACAATCCACAAGCAAGTGGGTTTCTTTCTAAAGGGAACAAAACATAGTACAGTAGAGCATGGTTTATTTGATAGTAAATACATAACCAAGTATTAGCTTTCCTAAAAAGCTTGTCTGACTTGAGCAAATTTATTTTTACGCGAAGAATCAAGAAAAGTTAAATCCAATGTAATCAACGTGACTCTGAGTAATGAAACGAATTCTTTTGCTAAGAAACAATAAAAGTTTAAATCAGTGGCATCAGCATAAATTTAAACTTGGAAATGAATTTATTCCATATACACTATATTTATACTTGTTATTTCCTTTTTTATGGACGTAGGGTCCGGCCGGGGGAGGGGGAGTGCCCCCCCCCCATTTATGCCGATTTATACATAGCTATATTTTATGGGTGTGTTCCCGTTTTGCACACATTTGATAATTAGGTATAGAACAATAGGTGTTAAATATGTTTTGATAGCAATTATAGTCTGATCCCCGTCTGGGATTTACCTTGAGTTACCTATATTTCACCAATGCATCATAATAAATATTTAAAAGAATAAAGTTTGAAAATTTAACATGTCAAATCCAACTGAAATTGATAAATCAGGTCTACAAATATAATTATTGCAGTCCCCCCTTTTCTTAATTTCATGAAGATAATATGAATGAGTTAATGAATTCAATCTTAATAAAAAAAATAATTAACTTGCCCAGTTAGTATCATATGAATGTACATTACAATTATAGTTTTGATTAGTATTTATGATATTTTTTTATGTTTTGAAATAGTTTTTTCTTATTATGAAATTACAGAAATAAATCAAAATTGAAAAATTATTAATGCAAAATTAATCAATTTTCTTCGTATACTTGCAATAGATTCTTTTTCTCCAAATTCACAACTATGATATAGACTATATCAATTAAGTAATTATCTTAACTGGACAAATTCCCGTTTTGCACACATTTTTTCAATACCTGAAATTCAAATGTGTGCAAAACGGGAACAAACCATTTTAGAGAGACTCAGTATGCATTGAAAATAAACATCATTAGTTAATCTGATAAAGATAATCGACAAGTGTTGACCTGACCAGCTTCATTCATTTCTGTTTTGCTGGACATGAATGATGCATTCGAGAATGGCCAAATGTTATGCAACCTGTAATGTATAATGTGATAATAATGACATATCAGCTCCAATGCTCTGGCTTGTTTGGGTGTTTAGCATGTTTCCTTTACTCTTCATGCTCTCCAGTTGATAGTTAAGATAGAATGAAGTTTCCAAGATCAAGTTATCACAAGAATTCTATTGAACGACTTGACTAACAAGCCTTAGCTAAATCTAATACTGTCTGACGCCATGACGTCAGACAATAAATCCAAGTTTAAAAAATGTCATTTTATCATAGAAGATAAATAATTTTTAAGAGAATATAACTAATTACTAAAATACTGCAGCTGTTCAAATGTCTCTATAGCTATTCACTATAACCATGTTTTACACAAATCAGTAATATTTAACACTTAATTAATTTATTTGTTCCTTTGTGCAACATTAATTCAGAAAGTAAGATTTTTATGGTATCTACATGTATATATATCATCTTGATCATAGGAGTTTTTAAAATAAAATGTAAGTAAACGTTTACGTACTAAAATTTTAATACTTTAAGAAAACAAAATCAAAACAAATGCAAATATTAATATCCTAATTCTCTTTTCTGTAGTAGGAAAGGAAGAATGAATAAAGAAAATATATGACTGGACCAGGAATCAAAGCAGGGACCCCTGTATCACTTAGTCAGGTGCTCTACCACTGAGCTTATACCCAAGCTGATATCACGGTCCATACAGCCCAAACTTCCACGTATCCTTAGAAATTAGAACAGTACTATATATCTCTAACAAATCACTTGATACAAAATTTAGTTTACTAGTTGATTGATAGATTTGTTATTGAGATATCATTGATTTAAAATATTTCAATACTATACAGAATAGTTTCATAATCTTTTTAATTTTTGAAAATTGATGGGCACTACATGTACCTGATATATGTGGGACTTAATCTAAAAATTAACTTTGAATACTTATGTTTTATACTGAATATTAAAATGCAATATTAGAGTACTTATGTTTCATGTCTTCTGGTATTTAAATATCTTGACATGATTTGCCATTTGATATAATTCAATGATGGCCCAAAAACTAAACGAATTCAAGAAATAAATACTTCGCATCCCAGCTAGCACATACCACTGCATGACGGGAGAGATATACCAGTAATAGAAAAAGGTCACCGTAATTACTGTTACGAATTATGTTAAAATATACATGTGATAGTCATGTATTAAGGGTGATATGAACCTTGGCAGTGATTATGTATGATGTGGTTACTTTGCTCTTGGAGTAATATGTACCAGACTACACTCCTATGTTAATTGCTGTATAGTATCTCAGAAATCAACAGATAGATGGCACAACCAATTATTCCAGTAACTACCATATCATTGAAGTATAGCTCTTCATGAGTAACACTGCAAAAAGATGGATTAATTATCCTAAACACTTCCTCCAAATTGACAAGATACATGACATTCATTGGTAGTTGAGTATTAATGTTTCAAGGTTTTGCTTATTCAACCCCTTTGAATTTAAATTCAGTTTGATTTTTTTTTTTTTAAAGTTAACTTTTATACTTGAATTATGAAGACAACATTTCCATAAAATTATTGTAGTATTTCAATAATTGTAACACTAGTTTACAGACAAATATTCAGAATATGTTTTTAGAAAGTGCTCCTTAAATTTTTTAATGATAGCATGCAATATAAAGCAGCTAGCATAAAATACACTGAATTTTGCATTTTACAGATCCTAAGCATACAAATAATCTAGCTCAGTCAAATTTTACCCATCAATTTATTAAATTTTTCTGGTGCAATTTGATCCCCAATGTCATTATATATAGCTAATGCATAAATCACATGTTGGAATAAAATGTATTGGAGGGAATTCAGTTCAATGTGAATTTCATTCCCCTAAAATAATCATCTGCACCCTTCCCCCCCATTCAACTCCTTGGAGACAAATTATATGAGGATCAAAAATAATTTCTAAAGCACTTGTTTTATTTCAAAATAGATCATCCTAAATGTACAATATGGAATCGGATCTTTGTGCCATAAAATCTTTATTAAATAAAAATTGCTTTGTCAAGCTTCACAAAATATTCATACTGGCCTTGAAGCTTTGATTAAGTTTTATAAAAAGACTTCACAAATAAAATATCAGTCGATCCAACTCTGCTGGTGGTATCTCTGCAATAGTCCGATTTTTATTACGATTACAACATCAAGTACCGTGAAGAAGTTTGATGTTAGCTGAACTTCAAGTGCCTGCTTCATTAACAAGATATATTAATAATGAGAAGAACTAGAGGATTATTGGAACTTGTACCAGTGATGGGGGCCAGTCATGAGAGGTCCATAATGTCCATATAGTTATTTTTTGCCCCATCTCCTTCCTTTTATCTGTACACTGATAAGAAGATTCTTCAGAGAAGCAACAGACAGTTATAAAAACAGCCTGATATTCCGTAGATCTTGCTGTATTGAAACATTAGAGAGGTATGTTTGCTAAATATTTCGAGTGCTGTTCTAGCATCTGGGACGGCAGCAAGCCCAAAACTCTCAGCAACAGGTGGGAAGCTCAGGCATTTTTCATCACCTATTTTCACTAATTTACTGAAAGGTAACACTGAAGATATATGCATATACCCTGAACCATGTGAGAAATATTCTCGAGAGCACTCATTTGACCCGAGTTTGACTGGTTTCAATAAAAAAGGCCGAATGAATTTATGTACATGATTTTATTCATGTGATTACTTAGAGTTTACATGCGCTTCAAAGATCGGCCACACAAACTCGCTGGTTTCGCACTGTCAGATTCAATATGGATGAAGTCTAGCTTATATATATTTTTTACCTAGCTGAGATTAAGTTTAGAAACAGGATGAGCCTATTTTAATCGTTAGCTGGCAGATAAAATTAGGTGACACATTATGGGGAATGTGAGCAAATTATGATCTGCCTTCACAATATTAACTCGGCATGGCATAGCAATAAAAAAAATTTGATTTATGGATTAAAAATCTTTCATAATATGCCTGATAAAAATAGATGTAGAATTATTGATACAAGTCTGAGGATGGGTGTATTAAGAACCTGAATTTTATGTACAGACTGATAAATAGATATGAACATGATGAAGAAAGTGATAAATGTCGTGTCAATTTCTCATTAATTTGTTAAGCTATATTGATAACAATTATTTAACTTAGAAAACAGATTTTTTTCCCTCATGATACATAGACAGTTTTATGTCTAATTTAAAGTTTTTGCTTATCTATTTTATATATTTGCAAAAGAGGCAAAATGTTTCAGGTTCTTGTTAGTAAGGACTTCAGTGTCTAACACAATGCTAAATCAATGACTGGAAGACAAAAACAATGGTGGACATTCTAGATGTTACAGAAAACTACTCACAGTCATTTTTGCTATTCTTTGTTTGTATATAATTTTATTATGTTTTTTTTTTACACACTATGCTTCCAGATAAATAAACGTCTAATCAAATTAAAGTTCTTTCTTACCCCACATAAAATAAGGAGGACATTTAACATACACTCTTACGAAATTTTTTTTTTTCTCGGATTTACATGCATCTATCAAAACTAAGTTAGTCAGAATATATCAAGTTAAACCTGAAATGTGTTAAGATTTAAAAGAAGTAAAATATTAGCTATTACCAAAGAAAGCCTTTAAATCATATTTCATCATTATCAAGACCCCAGACCTAGGTAAACAAAGTCTTTAGCAGGTGATAAGTTGAGTCTAAGATCTTCCTGACATCAATACCCACTTTGATGAAGTTAATTTTGATAGTACTAAAACCAAAACTGAAAGAGAATCAGCCCCGTAAAAGACCAAGACATGAAAAGCTTTCACTAAACCACAAATTCCAGACCATTATAATTAACATACTTCTGAGCACTTTTCCATCAGCGCACTTTAAAATTCAACAAAGCAGTGCTAAGCCAAGAGCAACAACAGTGTCATCAGTGACATCTTTTATAGGTACATGTTTCACTTAATATGATAGATACTGGTTATTTTCATAATTTCTTAATCAATTCAAATAAATTTTGTTTATTAGAATTAACTTTAATTGCCTTTCTAACAACATGGTATCTTAATTGTAAAAAGAAATATGAACATTGTCATACTGTTTAAATAGTAGAATATTAGCATAATTTTAATTGGGTTTAATTCTCAAATTTTTTTTTCCATATTGGCCATTAAAAGTTCTGTTTTCAGACTGTTCTGAAGTTCTTGCCCCATTGGCCTTAAGTTCTGACCTCATATTGTTCCCAAGTTCCTGCCCCATTGGCCTTTAAAGTTCTAACCTCAGATTGTTCCCAAGTGCTTAAATCTCTCTCTCTCCATTTTTACCTGTATGACCTCGGTCCAGGCCCTTGTCTGTGGAGTACCAACTGGTTCCTTGGCCATAAGGACATAAACAAAGGCCTGTCTATTGCCAGATACCAGTTCCGAGGTGGGGGTGTCCCAAGCTATTTCTATTTTCTGTGTACTTTTGAAAGGTACCACTACCGGCTCCATGCTGAATGTCCACTGACCAGTACTTGGGGATGCTGCAATGATTCAGATAAGTGCAATCATTAAGTTAAAATGAGGAGAGGAATAATTAATATGTGTAATTATCGGTAAGTGTTAATTGGAATTCAAGAAGGACCAATGGAAGTGTTGGGAGTTTATTTTTTGGGGGAAAACCTTTCCTGAATGTATCTGTATAAGCAGATTGTTATTCTCATTTTGAAAAGTCAATGAATCTATAAATTGGCATAGCCATTGATAAAGATTATGCTAATATATCAATCTCTCTAAAGAAAATATTAAGTATTTGATGGCCTTGATCCTACAAAATGTTGGTATATATATGATATACATGTTGTCAGTGTGTTATTAATAATAACTAGCTGGCAAATTCTGGTCACTCAACCCTGTATCCCGTCCCTGGTAACAGGTTCTGATGTTTTAATTTCCCTGTTTATCTTATCAGAGACTATCTCCAGTAGCAGTCAAAAACTGGCCAAAATCTAGGAGTTGCCAACACATGGAGGGGGAAATCAAAACTAATTACAGTGTAGCCAGTCATAACCAGAGAGTGTGTACAAGAATACTCCCAGGAAAAACATGATGGCAGTTTGGTCAGTTTCGGACTTGGCTTGTCTGGAACTCCACCAACACACACAATGGTTAACTGACACAAAATCCACAAAGATTATCTTCCTGAAATAATTACTTCTTGCCTCTAATTCTCCTTAGATTCCCACATAAAGAGTCTAGCCAATTAGACAGCTCTAAACCAGAAGCAAATAATGAGGCCAGAGCAACTTTAAGAGTCTCTGTATTTTTTTTTATTTTCGGAGGGGGACCAGTTTTATTGCATTTTGACTGTTCCTGATCATGTGAACAGGATCCTGAAGAATATTCTGGCTGATGACATAGAGCAATATAAAAAAGAAATAAAACTTTTTTTTTGGCTCTGGGAATGAGGTAATAAATAATAATATTCTCTTACACAAGAAACTAAGGAAAATGCACAAAGCTTGCTTAAAAGTATATATACTTGTATATACATGTATCTGTTAAAAAAATGGTGATAAACAATATGGCCTAAACGTTATTCATATTTCTATTTACATGTATTATAAAATGAAGTCAACAAGTTCAAATTGTGTTTAAATTGAATTCAAAGGCCAATCCTAATAAATTACCTGTGTTCAAAATGTTTGCCTTGAAATCACATGCTACCCTGCATCCTTTTTGCTGGAAAAAAAAGAGAGATAAATTTCATGGTAGACCTAGAAACTTGGAACTTATCAATTTAACCCATTACTTAATTTTTTTTACAATTACATTCATCTGTATTGAGCTGAGAAGCTAAATATTAGAACATATTGCCTGCTATGTCATGATTCACAGAATTCCACATTAACTCAGTCTGTTCATATGCTTTCAATTAATAATTTGATGTTAAGATGAATCAAACATTTACAAAGGAAAAAACATCAGATTTGAGTTTAAGAAAAATGGCTACAGCAGACAATTACCTATTTTCGAATAAAAGAGAGGACAAAGTAGTCTCCACTGACATTGAAATTTCAAATAAAAACAGCTTTTATAAAAATCAATACAATGTCATCTTACACATTTGTCTCCATTGTGGCATATTTCTGAGAATATTTCAGGCCTCAGAACAAGAGGTTCACACATTTTCCAGCACTGCAAACAAATAAACAATTTAATGAGTCAATTAATGTATGAATTTATGTTTTCAAAGATTTTTTCTTATATGCATGTATTTTGTTAATTTTTTTTTTTTTTTTTTTTTGCATTATAATACAGCTTTTAAGTACTATATACATGCTTTAAAGTATTTGCCTCATTTTGAATTTACCCATATTTTTTTTAAATATCTCTAAAGTGTTTTGTGCATTTTATTAAATCAGCCAGGATTAAACTTCATAAATAAGTGATTTGGTTGCAAATTTGAGGCAAAAATAAAATAAATAAATAAACGGAAGTCAGAATTTCATTTTACAGCATACATATATGTATATAATCATGGAATCTCTGTTAATTATCACGTCTATGAAAATTAATGCCATTCACAGGAAATCTTCATTTTCATTGAAAAATCTGGTCTCCCGGATCGTCATCATATCCTTCCATTGATCAGTAAGGTACAAGGATGCTAAATCTACCCCACTCATCTTAATGAAATTAAACCTTGCCTGTTCCACTTTTTTCTTAATGGATATTGAAGTGAAAATAGTGGCGAAAAATCAACTCTGTATATAATCATGGTTAATGAATGACCTTGTGAATATAGCCTATACTTTAATCATAATGGTTTTAGACTTGTAGCAAATGTTGTAAAAAAAATTTCTTTATTATCTTATTAAAAGGTTTGAGAGGCGATGACATGCATTGATATTATAATGGAATAAATAAATCTGAGACAATGGGAGATGGAGCACTTTGATGGGGGATATTTTTCAGCTGAGGTTTTTTGTTAAATTAAACATGAACATACCACATCACAGCTCTTCCTCTTGAAGCAGGAGTTATCATCATACGGAGCTCTGAGTGTCTGTGAATGAATGAATTTTTTTTTTTAAATTCTCAAATGCTAAGTCAAAATTTTTTTTATAAAATTGTTTCTAACTGCGCATTTGATAAAAATATATGAAATGGCCAAAAAAGGCACTTCAGATTAAATATCAATGCAAAATAAATATTCAAATATATTCTTGATTATCTGTGGAATTTCTGTGGAACTTAGAAAAAAAAATCCTATTGGATTATTCACTACTGAGATGTCTGCAATTGCTAATACACCTTAAATACCATGAAAAATATATATTCAAATAAAGAGCTGCATGTACAGTTTTACAAGATACATTTGTACAGTTTGGTAAAATTACCAAAAATGGTTTCAATTTTCTTTTTGTGGCTCTTTTCATCAAACTTTTAGTATCAGTTCAATTTTAATAAAAATCATCAAGGTATATGTATGTGGGTTCTCAAATTCAAATTTTTTTTTTTTTTTTTTTTTTTTTTTTTTTTTTTTTGCAAAAGGCAAAAAAAAAAAAAAAAAAAAAAAAAAAAAAAAAAAAAAAAAAAAAATTGCATACCTCACTTGAAAATATGGTTAGTATTTTTTCATTATAACTTTGTTTAAAATTTTGCGATTTAATTAGTCTTTGGTCAAACATTTTTAGCTAGTTCTATTTTGAAAGGGGTGGTAAGCCAAATACACAGTTTCAATATATATCAATGTATATGAAGCTTTCAGTATTACTTATGTAGATATAGGGTTTCTGAATTTCCTTTTTTTTTCGTGTCCTATTAGCTTATCTCTGAAGATTTTAAATGCAAAGTTTTATGTTGCAATGTAGTTCCTCCTCTTTCATGGGTGATAAATATCTTTTAATTTCTCATAGATTTGTCTATAAAAGAAAAAATCAAGGGGGGCAAATAAGCATTTTGAAACATGCACCTGTGTTTTGCATGTTTAAATAAAACTGCCACCAAAGCAAATAAAATTCCAAACAAATTAATCAATTTGTCTCCAGGTTGGTTAACCTAATAATAACATGTTTCCACATAAATTCTTTTTTCTATGACAACAACGTTACCGAAAAGTATTGAAAGTGAAAACATAAGGGGTATTACAACAAGATTGATTAGTTCTTGAAGATTATCATGCAGGTATACCCAGGAAAAGGGGGATATTTTGGCATCCCCCAGATGAAGCACATGCTGAAATAAGTGACTGTACAAGTTGTTGCTTAAATCTCACTCAATCATAAAATTAACTTCTTAATCCAATTTTTCACCCCAATACTGCATTAGGTAGCCTTTTATATGCCTATTGCAAAGTGCATGCATGGCTCTGTGCATGGAATCAGCCTTTTAGCACTGTCATGGTGCAATATTTACCTTGCATGATTTAGAACACAATTTTTATCCTGTAAATTTTGGAGGCATAAAATTCATCATGCCCAAAAACACTGACAATGTATTATCATACCTTCCTCATTTAGTGCAAAATGTTTCTACTAAAAGTAAAATGTTTCTACTAAAAGTAAAATGTTTCTACTAAAAGCAAAATGTTTCTACTAAAAGTAAAATGTTTCTAATTATCAGGATTCATACTGTTCTCCAAATATTTGATGTTTTATTTTATTTCCATTGTCATTTATTGAAAATAGCACTGGTGACACTTATTCTCTTTCTAGAAGTGAACAGGCATTGCCTATATTCACGAGATGGCATGTCCAACTTCTCTAAAGCGAATACCTGCAGCGTGTAGCCGACTGTGCTTCCGTGTATCTCCACATAAGTCTTACTTTGAGTAATATTTCTCTACCATTTTGATTTGTCATTACCTCAGTTTATGCTTTGGTACTTTTAAAGTTTTTGAAAACTTATAACAAGTTTCGTTTCAGGTTGATCAAGCTGATGATGATGACCTCCAAGATACATGTATCATAGTATCGAAATGAGTACGGTCAAACTATATTTATTCCGGATAAAAAATGTCAATTCGAACACGCTTTCTTAATATTGGTCATAAATTTCTATCTATAAGCTGAAATCATCAATGTGTTATTTAATTTTCTTCTCTTTTAATTTAAAAAAAAAATAAAATTTGTAAATGCATAAAAGAAAATTGAAAAAGACACACATTTAACTTGGCGCAAAACGCCTTATGGAATCATGACAAAGAAACAACATTTGTTTCTCATTCTTTTTTCGCAAAATATTAATGTGACTGTAAATTAATTATATAAAAACAACTAGATACACATAAAAGTAATAATTATTACATTTAAAGAGGGAGTGTATTATTTTTAAAAAGTATACCTCTTGCAGGCACCTTGCTCGACACCGTGCTTTAGCGATTGGTCCAACATCAATTGCTGAAGTCCAAATGGAAATCAAAAGTACGAAAGTCACAATCGTCAACAAATTATCCATTGTTTTTTACAGTAAAAATCTAATAAATCCAGCAATTCCAAACAATGTCACGAAGTTACTGACCCATTACGTGCGGAGGTACTCAGGGAAGTTATTTCCGTAAATATTGAACCCAGCAAATACTTTGTGCCCGCGCACTCATAGCGTAACTACTTTATAAGTGCCACTGGTTGTTGTTAAGGAATGTCGGAAACCTTATCTATATCAAATTTACATCGGAGATGAATTATTAAGAAAATCGGTGATAAAACACTCTCCTATTAATTACAACAAAAACGTGTGTAGAAAAACAGAAAGGTTGGGCCTCGATCTTCAAACGATAATCTTCGATCACATGGCCTCTCCTTGTTAATCCCTAATTAATTGTAATATTCACTAAGGCTGCTAATATCCACAATTCAGAGACGTCTTAGGTGCCAAAAGTCACTTTTCTTAACACCTTGAGGGGTAGTTTTAACAGCTTTCACCATCTAACCCCAAGAACCTCTTACACGAACCCCAAATACATTAACTCCAACCGAAAGAAAAAAGAAAACATGTAGCGATGCTTTTTTTGCTGATTCAAGTCCAAATGAGAAGAATTACACATAAAAATAAACATTAAACTATTTGATGAGATGAGGTTAGTTCGCTCCTTTGCTTCACGTGCATAAGAATTGAATGTTTCTCTTCCTCTGTTGACTATACGTACGTTTACTCGGAACAACTCAGACAGTAACGCGAATCCCTATACTCTGTATCTCTTCTTATCACTAGAACCCTACGTAGGCTTGCAAACAAATCACATCAGACATGCCATAGAATTCATCCACTCTACCGCTTCTAAAACCTACTGATATTCACTTTGATAAACTCCAGTTTGTGTTTTTTAGCCATTTTTATATCAGAGACAATCTGGGTCAAATCGAGTTACTTAAATATAAAAGGAACTCATATTTAATGCATCTTCTAAGAAGAAGCAGAAAAGCAGAAAAGTTGTAATGGCAAGAAAAAACCCTTCTGTTCTTGAAATAAAACAGTATTGTTTCAAAAGTAATAGGAAATCTTAATTATATCACGAACAACAAATAAACAATCTTCATTAACTAAGTTATCAGAATTGGGGGGTCAGGTTTCTCAAAGGAAGACGATAGGACAGGGTCTGAATAACATTCATTTCAAAACCCCTTGACCCCTGTTGTTCTTAGGTTAAAAACGCTTTGTTAATAAGCAGGGGTAATTGATGAATACTTTGCTTCATAATTCCAGCAGAATTGTTTATATACAATTCGCACGATCTGCTCGTACCAATTAACCCCCTCTGAGCGAAAGCATTCTTTTTGCACAACATAAACATGTAAATAAGAAAAGTGCGTATGCAACAGACTATACATCGTAGGCAATTTCCTGGTAACTGCCGTTTCTGGTTTAAATTTTTTTAATGCAATGTCACATTTAACCTTGCGTGACGTCAACGCTATTCTATCGAACTCTCTGCTGAGACGTTCACTATGATTATTATTGTCACTGGACAAGAGAATCGGAGTCATAAAACGTCACTGATATTTTTCCTCTTAAATGTATTTGTCATTCTGTAAGTAAGACATATGTTTTTGTCTTGGTGGTCCGTTTCTAGAATGCGGCGGATTGTTTTTGCAGTTTCAATTACGCGAAAAGATCAGCGTTCTGCAATATTTTGTATAAAACTAATCTAGTATAGTGGGATTCATTTTCGATATTTTTCTGAAATGTAAGCAATGAACAAAAAGTCAATTAAACAATGTCTATTTAGAACTTTTTTGCAATCTGTTCTAAGAGATTTCCATTTTTCCTTTTGTCTTACTTTGTTTTGTCTTTATATTGTATTTTAGCAAATGATAAATCATAACAAAGAAATATTGCAACACCATGAACATGAGATGTAAATAAAAACAATATTGGTGGTCACCTTAGACTACGGTCTAATGTATCACCGTGATACTATCATGTATTTCTCCCTCCTTCTAAAACTGTTACTCTGTAGCAAATACACAGGCAGCCTCAAACAAACAAATCCCCTTTTTCTTTCAGCGAATTTGCCAAAATGAGCATAATTAAAAGCTTCAAGTTCTTTTCATGAATTACATTTTTTAAACAAATCAATTTTGATGGGGTTTTTTCGATGGCTTACCAAATTATAACCACGCACTTTTATTCCAATAACCTTGACCTTGTCCAATGACCCTTGATCGTTACTATGACAAACCCTTGGGTCGTAAGTAACCTATGTGTTCTTAGTGAGCATCTAACATTAAATTTAATTTCTTACTTTTTCCTCTTTCAAAGGTTGTAATTGATAAAAATTCAAAACTCATTTGGAACTCTGATTTCAAAAAATCTTAGTCAAGGGCTTTGGGATTTTATTGCTAAACTTATTTAACATTAAGTGCATCTTTTAATGTATACACATTAATGACTTTTACAGACAGAGGAATAATTCATTTTTGTTCCCCGCTGTCACTGAAAGTGGGGGATATTATTTTGGTTCTGTCTGTCCGTTCGTCTTTCTATCTGTCTGTCTGTCATTCTATCTGTTTGTAAATCTTTCGTTTCCAGACGATATCTCAAGACGCCTTTAAGCCTTTGTAACGAAATTTTATACCACAACTGCCGAAAGATTTTGAGGTGTAAAAGTCTAAGGTCAAGGTAAGAAATTCATACACTTTTCTGTGTGTAACACTTTTGTTTCCAGACGATATCTTAAAAAAATCTTTTGAGATTTTGCGATGCAATTTTATGTAACAATTTTTATATCACAACTGCTAATGGCCTAAGAAAAACCCTACTGATTTTGAGGTCAAAAGGTCAAAGGTCAAGTCAGAAATTCACTGCAATGCAAATAACATTTTCCAGATGATGACATGTCTTTTTGAGCTTTCTTCAATAAAATTTAATATAACAACTCCCTCTGGCCTAAAGAAGTCCCCTACTGATTTTTAGGTCAAAAGTCAAGATCATAAATCATACATTCTGTTTGTGTAAAACCTTTGTTTTCTTACTATATCTTAATAAAGCCTTAGAGCTTTTGCAATGAAATTTTATATCACAACTCCCCATGGCCTTAAAAAGATCCATTTTGACGTCAAAAGGTCAAGGTCAGAAATATACTGCATACATAGTTTTCAGAAGATAGTTTTAGTTTTTCTGTAAGCTTTTGCAATGCAACTTTAGGTCATGAATTTCTTTAAATTAAAAAAGACTACTATATTGACTTTAAGGCAAAAAGCTGAAAGGTCAAGAGTGACCCTTTTTTTCTTTCTCCGTCTGCATATTTTTTCCAGTTCTTCCACCCCTTTCTTTTTTCCTTATGCGGGGGACACGAATTCTCTGAATTATAGCTTGTTTCCTTTAAAGATATCCTACTCCCATTGTGTCATCCTTTTTGTACACCTTTATTGATCTGCAAGTCGTGCATCAAAAATATTTTTTCCCAAATCCATTGATTTGCATACTTTCAAAAGAAAACCTGTAAAATCATAATCCCGATTAATTTTTCTCTTTGCACGTTGGTCTTCTTTGACTCTGGGAATTCGACATCATTTAAGTGAACATTCTCTTGTTTCCTGGTTTTCTATCGATTCCACATCTAAAAGGTGTTAAAATTAAGTGTGCAACTAATCATGGCAATTGATATCTAATTCTTCGGTGCTCCACTGTGTCAATTTTGGATTGGCCTTAGGTTACGAAAACGTTTTAACGTTAAGAACCAAGGCCGTAGATTTCTGTAGACCATTGTGATGATTTGAAACTTGGGCTTTTAAATTGTCTTGATACTCAGATAAGTATTTTGCCGTACATCGTATATAGTTATTATACAGTGTATAAATACTTGGCATGACGGTGTTTTAATGTTGACGTGAATTTTAATCTAGATTCATCATAACGTAATTGTTAAGCAATCCGGATTATGAAAACGTGAGTTTTACAAAGTTGAAGACAAAAGTTTAAGTTAGAAACATCCAATGGGTTAATTACCTGAATTATGGACATTTTTTTTTCTATTGGTTACAAAATTTGTGTAAAAATAAACAAATGAAACTTTTTTTTGTGAATAAATCTTTTTTAAATTAAAAAAATAATGTTTTACGATTTCACTTAGTTTTCTTATATCTTCCTTGATTTTTGTAACTAGTAAACTTTTTGTAAGAAGACTGCATTCTTCATAAATCCATTAAAAGATTCCCTGCATTTGTTCAGAATCACAGCAAAGCGAAAACTAGAAGCAGGAGAATGGACAGGCCAACGGAAAATGCACAACGTTCATGCACATGTATATTATTTAGAATAAATAATTTTCTTGATAGCTATATGAACGTGGGACCTGTCTACTTTTCATTTACATTGTAATTCATTTTTTGACTATGTTTTTCTTACTTAAACATAACCTTTTGATTGAAATTAAAGGATTTTTTTTCTTTTTGAAAGGATTTTAAAACGAATTGAACAACGCAAAATACAATTTTATTTAATAAATTTCAGTCTCTTTTGAGGGCTGCTTGCATGTTTTGAGATATTTTCAATAAGAAAAGTATCTACACATGCAATATATATATATATATATATATATATATATATATATATATATATATATATATATATATATATATATATATATATATATATATATATATATATATATATATACATACCGGTCTTGTAGAGTAGGCTTTCCCCTATAAAATCTTTCCCACGGAAAACTGGTTCTAGAGTAGGATTTCCCCACGGAAAATAGGCTCTAGAGTAGGATATCCCCTTCGGAAATCACACATCAGATTCAATTTTCCGGGGAAAATCCTACTCTGTGTAATAGTCATATAGAGTGCGATTTCCCCATAGCCACGGGGGTGGGGGTGGGGCAACATATTGCTTCCCTTCTTCAAAATGGCGACCATATAAAGTACAAAAATAGACAATTTAAATCTCATTTTGCTCAATAACAGTCCAACCAATTCTTTTGAAGCATTATCTTATTCTTTTGATCAGGTCAAACTGGTTTCTGAAAAAAAAAATATTGGTTCAAAAGGGAATTTTATTTCAAATGATTTTTTTTCTCCGATTGTATTTCAAACTAAACGTTCATCATAATATTGATGTGTAAGTTCCTCTCCAAGATTCTGGTGTTTTATTTTTAGTTCTATGGCAACGGCATCCAAAATAGCTGCCGTTGCCATAGAACTAAAAATGGCTCATTTATTTCTTTAAAAAAATGAAATTTTGCAAAACTTAAAACTTACAAAACAGAGTATTTGTTCTCTGCTTTCAAATCCAATATTACACCGCTGAGATAGAAGGGACATAAGCTCCGTCTTGCAAAAGCAGTGTTCCTTGTATCGTTTTGTTTCTTGTTTTGGCTTTTAAAATTGTTTTTCCCTTTGCAGAACTCGATTCAAATACTCACAAAATGGCATATGGAACCTATCAATAACATAATTTTTAGAATTTTCTGACACACTCTTTGTAAAAAAGATCGATCCATAAATGAAATACTAGGCCT